GAGGAGAACACAGGTGTGGAATTCATAAAGCCATCAAGGGAATTTTAAAGCTTACCTATACGGGCACTTGAAACAAGGCCAGAGCCATTTCTCAGAATATCTGCGGACCCCACACAGGTCATCAAAAGGCAGGATTCGTCCAGTTTAACTGGTTGCTTGATCATGAGAACATAAATAGCAGGAATCCCTGTTAATGGGAACTTACCGTATGTGACCTTGAATTTTCCCTATCTGCTTGCCAGAAGCTTAGAAGTCCTCAATAAAAATGATTGTAGAAAGCAGAAGAGCAACTAGGTAGATTTGTCTTTGTTTAATGGTTTTACACATCTAAAAAGGAACATGACCTTTATCATTAAAAAATAAAACTTCCTTATTTTCATTATCAGGAAACAGTGTAGGCAGTCTCCAAAAGAATTGTCTAAGGCTGCAGATTATGTGTGTCTGAGCTGGAGAAAAGGGACCATATGGCAGATGTCTGACTACTTATATGTAGTCTAATCTCCATAGTCCCTACGATTATTGTTTCTTATCCATCATTGTACAGTGTCAGGAAAATAAAAAACAAAAATTGAAGTTTAGAATAAAGGAAAAGTCAAGGTTAAGACTCCAAATGGGCATCAGAATTTAGCCTTCATGCCAATTTCCTAACTTCTGTTCATAAATTCATGTTTATTTTGCTGAAGATGCTAGACTTTGCAAAGAAGCTGGCCTTCTAGGTACTTTATAGTGTGCCTGTTTTGGGAGGTAGGAGATGGGCAGGAAAGAAAACTTTTTTGATCCTGAGAAGTTGACTGAGAAAGAATTAGACCCTTGAATACAGGGAAGTTTTAGAACCTGAACCTATTTGTATAGATGCTGCACAATACTTACTAAGTGGGGGGAAGGGAAAGACAGAACAAAATACAAAGCTACGTGGCATTCAGCGTAGATCATGCCATCTCAAGTTTTCCATATCTGATACTATTCAGGGCAATAGAAACAAGTTGGCATATAGCTGACTTCAAGTACCCAACTGAAGATAAGATAGAAAGTGAATAGTGTAAAGCCTTCCTGAGAAATAAACTTAGCTACTCTGTATAAACTAAATTCTATGGAAGTTTATGCTTTATTATTATGTTTTTGTATAGTCAGATCCTTTCTCTTGTATTTCCTGAAAGATCCAGGGAATTCTCTATGCTAGAAGGAACTATCTTGAACCAGAGCCATTCTGAATTATCCACATGAATGTCGATAGCCACTTTGTATTCTTGGTTAGGAGACAGGAGAAGGGTCATGATCGTGGTCTTGGCTAGATAGAATACTTTGTAGGAGAGAAGCAAACAGATAATATAACATCTTTAATCCCCTGACATCCCAGAGAATAACACTACCATTTGTCAGGTACTCTGCTAGGTGTTTTAAGCTTGTTACCTCATTTCACCCTCCCAGGGAGCCCTCCATGTTCTACTGGCCAGCAACCAGCTCCAGGGCGAGTGACTGTCCCAAGTTGTACAACCAGAGCATCTTCAAAATTCTTTGACAGATGTTTTCCAGCTGTATAGTTGAGCTCATCACTCCATTATCTAAAGTGAAGGTGCTTCTCCGACATGGGTCCCTCTTGAATTCTTTTAAAGAAACTAGTTTTCCTGAATTGGCAAAATAAACGAAAGTACTGTATTCCTAATTTTCCCATCTACCTATAAACTTGGTAAGTAAATATTGGAGATGGATTTTATTATAGATCGAAAGCTAGAAATCCTTAGTTTTTTTTGTTTTTCAGTTTTATCCTTGAGTGATATATTCAGATTTTTTTTTTTTTTTTGGTTAGTATTCCTCTTTATAATTTCTAAATTTGAAGTAGAAGGCTAAAGATAAGAGAAGTGAATGATGGAGGTTTTTACAAATCAAGAAACATTGATTACATAAAAGAACAATACAGCTACTTTGTACACCTTGAACCCAGTTCTTAAGAGACAATGAAGTAGAACTATATTAGAGAAAAGGTTCTTGGACAGCAGCAAATAGTTCAAGTTGGCTGTAGAGTTGAGAAGCTTGAATAAACCAAAGACAAGAGCATAGCTCATGATTAAACCATTTTTTTCAGATTACAAATTGAAACAGCAAATGATATTGCTGTGCCACTGTTTGGTTTATTCTCACTTCAATACCCATTTTTATTCTGGAAGAAGCTGAGCTTGGATCTTCTTCTTAGATTAAAGCCACTGAAGGAAACAGACTTACACTAACCAACTGCCAATTTACCTCCTGTAAGTAGAATTTCTCTTCTAAAGAAAAGGGGTTAGGTGTGTTTGATTGCTATAGAAGATGAATTATCCAAATACATAGGGCACATCACTGAAAAGTCACCTAGGAAGAGAAAAGAATATAATTGCTTTCACTTTTTATGCTTTAATAATCAATTTCTAAGATACACACACACACAATTTGAGTCTGGCATATTCCCATGGCATTTTCCCAGGAACAGACTTTGAGTGAGCCAAAGGGCTTGCCAGGATTGGTTTGTTTGTACCTGCGGTGTGTGTTTATACATTAATCCACCAGATTTGTACCCTCCTATTCATACACTATTGTACAAGCTTTGCATAGGATTCCGTTTCAAGAAATCTATTGTCCACTCACAGTGAAAGGAAGTAGATTCTATTCCTGCTCTATTTCCTAGTATATTTGAAAGTGAAATTTATCCTACAAAGATGACACTTGAAAACAGGTGCATGCTTTTGAAAGGCATTCTTTAGATTTGAACAGATGAATTATTGGGTCATTGATGTGTCTGAAGAGATTTGATGACATGTCTGCATTGAGCAGGTGTCTAACTTGTAGTGAGGTACCTAAACAAGTAGGAACCTTTGGGTCTTAAAAAATGTTAATGGGAAGAATATGTGAATACTTCAAGGCTATAAATCTTGAGTAGTTTGTGGTGCTAAGAATTTGCTTTTTAAACTGTCTTTTACATGTCTTCTTATGCCCAAAATGAAAAATTTCAACTTTTTGATTTCCCTGTTTAGCTTTTAGCATTGAGGCTCCTTGGGGAAAGACTCTATGTATGCTCCATCTCTGTATCTTGTTTCCCTCAGTCTTTTACACCAGAAGACATTGCAAATAATCACCGAATCAGTGGCCAGGATTCAGTTTGATAATGTGAAATGAAGTTATCCTTTATGGTTTTCTTTTGCTATAATCACTTTCCAAACTCTTATTGGAAGAGAACAAATTGTGACTTGTGCTTGAGTCTCTTTATGGGGATGTGTTCTCGGTCTTCCTGCCCGGCAAAGTCTTCTCATGCTTGTCTCGCTGCATTTGCTCAGCTCAGAACCTATAATCTATCATCACTCAGATGCCAAGTGCTCTCGCCCTTCTACTGTGATACTTTTATCTGCAAACTGCTGCCCACTTACATTTCTTCCATCATTGAAATTTTCTGGGTGCTGTTGATTATTTTTGTTGTATTCTGTTTTTACTCTGTACTATAAAAACTTTATGGACGAAGAGCCTATTATAAATGTCCTTTATGTCCATGGTATTAATAATACCAGATTGTCGAGCTCTATAATTATGAAATAATATAGTGTCTGGCATGAAAGTTACTTAAATTCAGAGTTGAATTTTGATTATCCCTAACTTATGCTTTGCCTCATCTTTGCTGGGAATATGAGCCTGTTTCTTAAGCTTGCTGTCATAGAATCAGGAGTTGAGGGTTTGAAGAGAGGAAAATAAGTGGCTGAATATTTGTGGTTTTAAGTTAGACATACATAACTCCCTGAATCTATATAGATTTCCTGTATAAGATATGCCTTTTCACCACCTCCTAGAATTAATGCTGCATATTACCCTGTTTATTTCCTTCACAGCACTAATCACACCATGATATGGTTCTGTTTACTGTCTTCTTTCTCTTTCCATGAGGTACCTTATTTGTCTTATTCACTGAACCACTAGCACTTAGCTCAGACTTTGGCACATAGTAGGAGCCTGATAAATATTTATCGATTGAATGAGAGGCACACTCAGGTTCATGAATTTCTAAAGCACTCTTTTCCTCCATGGACTGGAGTTGAGAATCCACCAGCACCTCACTCTCCGGCTTCCCACTCCCCACCCCTGCCCCAGCTACAGGAGTTTTTGCTCCTTGGTTTGTGTCCCAGATGGACTTTGGCAGTAAACCAGTGATATGGCAGTGAAGACACAAGGCTGAATATCCAGTTGTTTGGACTTAATTTAATATAGAATATTCAATTTATACCTTGTTTTCGGTGTTCTTAGCTCTAATGCTGAGCTAGGATTGAAATTGTATCTTCTCTGAGCACATTGCTTGCCTAGGGCAGTAATAGACCTTTTCTTCAAGTTTCAATTAGCTGTGGGCTGGTTGTGCTATATGTGAAAATGTCTTTTTAATATCTTGATAAAACACAGGCCATCCAATTAGGTGAATTATTTGAAGTACTTTTTTTTTTAATCCACTGACATTTATGATTAGAAAGCCTTAGAGAGTTAAATTGCATTAATGACATCAATTTGTCCATTATACAAATTGTCTGCTTCTTGCAACCTAAAGAAACTACTTTTCTTTCTATATTTAAATTTAAACATACTTTGAACATATCTATCAAAGGAACTATTCTGCAGAATAAGGGTTAGATTTCTGAAACCGTAGACGCAAATCCCTTGTGCTCCAGTCTCCAAATGTAGTCTCCATTGGACGAAATCCCACATAAACAAATATTTATCAAGAATTAAGACTTTAGGGGCACCTGGGTGGCTCATTCGGTTAAGCATCCAACTTGGACTCAGGTCATGATCTCACGGTTTGTGGGTTTGAGCCCCATATCCAGCTCTGTGCTGACACCTCAGAGCCTGGTGGCTGCTTCAGATCCTCTGTCTTTGTCTTTGTCTCTCAAAAAAAAAAAAATTAAAAAATTAAAAATGTATATAAAAATAACAAAATTTTAAAAACTCGAGATTTTATGTCATGACGTTAGTATATATAATTCTTTTTCTTAAAGAATCTTCTGCTGAGTCTCAACTTTTCCTGGAAACATGGATCATTCCCAGCACATGGGGACAAGCCATATGGCCGACAACAGTACAACAATGCCTTCTCACCACCACCACCACCCGACCTCTTCGGCCCACCACTCTCATGGCGGGGGGATGGATGGCATGATGATGGTGAGTACCTCAGGAGAGGCAGCCCTTTTTCACCCACATGGGTAATAGAAATAATCGAGTTTTAGGAGTGGCAGATTATTGTCTTTACAGTCAGTTTACTGATGAGGAAGAGCTAAGACAGACACAGACAAGGCCAGGGATTTGCCCAAGATCACATGGCTAGTTAATTTCAGAGCCACACCAGACCCAGAATTTCTGGGGCTCTTGTGTGTTTCTTCCATTCAGAATTGACCCTCTTCTGACTCTCTTCTGGTATTCACGCTTTGTGTAGAAGAGAAAAAGACAGTACATTTATCATGAGAGCACTGAGTAATGTATAGGATTGTTGAATCACTATATTGTATACTTGGAGGTAATATAACACTGTCTGTTGACTATACTGGAATTAAAATTAGAAAGAGAGAGAGCGAGAAGTGGGTGGTGGGGGCAAGGAAGAATACTTGTAGAGAGTGTCAATGGTGATAACGCTAAAATGGAGGAGAGAAGATCTCTTATGATCCAGGTCTGATACTTTGGAATGCTCTACACTTCTTGATCTGAAACCTCTAATTGACTTGTTTTGGTTTTCTGGTAGTCTATGACCTTCTACTTTGGCTTTACGAATGTGGAACTGTTGTTTTCGGGTTTGGTGATCAATACAGCTGGAGGTGAGTAAACCTTCGTCATCAGGTGGTATTCGAGAGTGACACAGGAGAGGCAGTGACAAAGGATCTGGAAACCCAGAACCTTTTTCTGCCGTAATTACTGAATGGTTATGGTTATGGTTTTGATACATAAGCATCTTCGTAGTAGCTACCTAGAAGGTAAGGATGCACAATGCTTATTTTGGTCCTACAGTAAAACCTCCCTTAAATAACAGGTTTTAGAGTTTCTGAAAAATAATTTAGACACCAGATAGGAGTCTTTGGCAATCCATTTCCTTCTATCTTTTTCCAGAGTGCTTCCTTATTTGATAAGTTATTGATCCTGGACATAAGACTATAGTCAAGTTAAAATGACATGGGGGGAGCACCCGGGTGGCTCAGTCCATTGAGGGTCTGACTTAAGCTCAGGTCACGATCTCACTGTTTGTGGGTTCAAGCCCTACATTGGGCTTTGTGCTAATAGCATGGAGACTGCTTCAGATTCTCTCTCTGCCCTTCCTTCTTTCTCTACCCCCAAAATAAACATTTTAAAAAATGACATAAGCTTTTTGCATAAACAGACCACAAAATAACCCTAGGTAGAAAATTATTGATCCCGTATAGTCCTTCCATTTTATATAGGTCAATATGTTAAGCCCTAAGTCACATAGCATTTGTATGTCAGAGATGGTACAGGGACCTAGTCTTTCAAGACCTCCCTACTCCTGTGCTCTGGTCTACATCTCCTGATTCTTGGCATGGCTCAGCTTAGGGTCAGTCCTACTTTGGGGCTAACTAATACCCGTTTCTATGTGTCTGTAACATAGAGTGGGCATGCCTTAAATTCACATTGCTCAAGCTCAGTCGTCAGTTGGACTGCTTTCAGAAGATGTCTTTGGAGCCACAAAATCAATTTGGAGAAAAGGGGAAGCATTTAGTTCAGGTAGTGTGTTAAATATGAAGTTTGAGTATATTCATATCATTATTAACACTTCACAGTGTGAAGACTTAGAAGTGAAAATTCTGTTCAAGAAACAGCGCTTTATTGAGGCACCTGAATGGCTCAGTCAGTTTAGCACTGACTCTTGATTTTGGCTCAGGTCCTACAACACCCTGTGCTCATCACAAGTGCACTTCTTAATCCCTGTCACCTGTTCACCCATCCCCCCATCACCTTTCACCAACTCCCCCCCAACCCCCTCCCCTCTCAGAACCATCAGTTAGTTCTCTATAGTTAAGAGTCTGATGGGGCACCTGGGTGGCTTAGTCGGTTGATGGTCCAACTTCGGCTCAGGTCATGATCTCACGGTTCGTGGGTTCGAGCCCCGTGTTGGGCTCAGTGCTGACAGCTAGCTCAGAGCCAGGAGCCTATTTCAGATTCTGTGTCTCCGTCTCTCTCTCTGGCCCTACCCTGCTCACGTTGTCTCTCTCTGTCTCTCTCTCTCTCAGAAATAAAAAAATTGTTAAGGAAAAGCCTGTTTTTGGAGTGTCTCGGTGGCTCAGTCGATTAAGTGTCCAGCTTCGGCTCAGCCCCACATTGGGCTCTCTCTTGTCAGCACAGAGCCTGTTTGGGATCCTCTGTCCTCCTCTTGTGCCCCCCACCCATCTCAAAAAGAAATATTAAAAATATTTGTTTTTACAATCTTTCTTTTTTTAAGTTAATTCATTTATTTTGAGTGGGGGAGAGAGAATGCATGAGAGGAGGAGGGGCAGACAGGGAGAAAGAGAATCCTAAGCAGGCTCCACATGGTCAGCGCAGAGTCCAACGGGGCTTGAACTCATGAGCTGTGATATCCTGGCCTGAGCCAAAATCAAGAGTCAGCCTACTGAGCTACCCAGGCACCTGAAGAGTCTGTTTCTTGATTTAGCTCTTTTCTCCCTTTGCTCAAGGAAATAGCACTTTAAGATGTTGTTTTATTCCCCTTTTGCATACTCTACACTGTATTTCAATGTAACAGGCTAATTTATGACCTCAAGCAGCCAGACCTATAAGTTATTGCTTTTCCCTAACGCCGTCTCTGTCCAGCTGTACAAGTAGAGAGCAAACCGTATAATGTGTTCAGAAATTGAAAGTAGCCCCTTTTTATGTTGACTCTCTGGCTTGGACAGCACACCACCTAGTGATTTTGCACATGTGACCATACCACCTTCTTTTCCTTCCCTGCCTAGAAATGGCGGGAGCTTTTGTGGCTGTATTCTTACTGGCGATGTTCTATGAGGGACTCAAGATAGCCCGCGAGAGCCTGCTGCGCAAGTCCCAAGTCAGCATCCGCTACAACTCCATGCCTGTCCCCGGGCCGAACGGAACCATCCTGATGGAGACACACAAAACTGTTGGGTAAGAAGATGGAACAGATCCCGATGGAAGTTCTGGGGAGCTGGATTAGTTAAGCGGCAAAGCCGCTCTGTTATTAGCGACAGCCCTCTTCTTGAGTGACTAGTTCTTCTCTCTGACCTGGATTGAAACGGTCTCTGGAGGCTGGGCTGTGGGTCATGAGCAGGCCAATGGAGGGATGTTAGGAACCCTTCTGCAAGCAGGAGTACAAGCATTCATGAATCGTAAGCCTTGGTGACTGGAAGAAGGTAAGGAATCCATATTTTTAAATACTTGCCAAAATAATAATATGCAAATCAAAAGAAACTCAGATCAGGGTATAGAAGAATGACAGGATCCAGTTGATTCTTTTCTATAAAAAATTGTATCTACCCAGCTCTAGTCTCATTTGATTTACAACATAAGACTCTATAGAAAACCTATATTCTGCCAAAGAAAGTATTTGGATTACTACTGCCTTTTCCCCACAGATCAGCAAATGCCTTTTGAGATTTTTGAGTTTCAACGGAAATGTAGGTCTTAAAACTAAATTGGAGGCATACCTGGGTGGCTCTGTCGGTTAAGCGTCCGACTCTTGATTTCAGCTCAGGTCATGATCTCATGGTTCATGAGTTCGAACCTTGTATCAGGCTCTGCACTGGTGGCATGGTGCCTCCTTGGGATTCTGGCTCTCCCTACTCAGGAAGGCGCACATGCTCTCTCTCTCTCTCTCTCTGAAAATAAATTTAAAAAAACAAAAAACCTCAATTGGAATTCAAGGACTCTTATAACCAATGTCCTGCTTTCAAGTAAACACAATACTATTGAGGCCCAAACATGTTGTGACTTACCTAAGTGTGTCACCTAAGGTGACAGAACTGGTGACAGAGGGGATAGCCAAGCCTCCTGATTCCTAGTAAATACTTCGTACTATACTACCCAACCCTGAATTATATTTCCATTTTTTAGAATGTGAACTTTGCAAAGGTGGAAGGCCTGAAAATGTTCAAATATATATAGGAGGGTTTAGGGCTTCCCTTTCAGGATCCAAAGTAGAGGTGAGTTAGGGGATGACTTGTCCTTCCTTTCCTCCCCTCCTGCAGACATTAACCGTATGTGGCCAGTGCTTATCAACCTGGCAGCCCTATCATCTTTCACTCCAGGGACCATACACAAGAGAAGCCATGAGTTGCCAGGATGGCTCTGAGGGAGTCCAGTTCAAGCTGAGCTCATGACCAGAACTGTTCCCCATTCATTTCTCGAGATCTGCAGAGCTGCCCAGACACTTTTCAGGGTCCCTGATGGTTACGTTCCTCTTTATTCTTCAGGCAGCAGATGCTGAGCTTTCCTCACCTCCTGCAGACAGTGCTGCATATCATCCAAGTGGTCATCAGCTACTTCCTCATGCTCATCTTCATGACCTACAATGGGTACCTCTGCATTGCAGTAGCAGCGGGTGCCGGCACAGGATACTTTCTCTTCAGCTGGAAGAAGGCGGTGGTGGTGGACATCACAGAGCATTGCCATTAACTTCCAACTCCATGGTGCAGCCTTATCGATTGCAGTGGGAAGCAGTTCAAGACTGAAAGACATGATTCCTACTCCAATCTTCCCTTCTTGCTCCTTATTTCCTTACTTACACACATACACACACACCTGCTCAACAGAGGTTTAGCTTCTAGTCTCTGAGCTAAGGTGGTAACCTTCCTGGTTTTTTTTCTTAATGTGATCTGAGATTCCCTCAGACAAGATTCCCTCAGAATCTCTCCTCCCTAATAATCTTAGATGCAAGTTACATGTTCTTGTCCAATCCAGGTAGCTTTTTATTCAAGGATTTGATCAGCTGCTTCCTTTTTTAGTCTTTTGTTTTTATTTTGTTAACAGACAGTTTGTGAATTTGGTGGATTTCTCCTGGGTCAGTGATGGAAAGAGATTAGCTTCAGGTAGGATTGGTGGTAGCTGAGGGATATTCTTGCCCAACTAAACCCAGAACCGGAATTTAACACTTGAAAGTGAGTTCCAGTCTTTGGATTCGATAAGTGTGAAATCCATCGCACCTTTCCCTAGGTGTGATATGTTGCACCAAAATCTCTGTAGTGTGCAGAAAGGTGGTTTGAGACTAAACAAGGGGCTGAGCTTGCAAAAATGTGCATTCTTATGTGGCTGACTCATGAACTTATGTTCCTACTTAAGGTTTTGATTAAAATGAACTTGTCAATCAAAAAGATGACAATCACTTTGAGAAAATAGAAATAGATATTTTGGAATAAAACCATTGATACTTTGACTTGGTACCTTGGATTGTCACAGCTGAATGAAACAAGAGTTTGACTCATTTTCTTTTGTTGTAGTTTTTATGCGTTGGCCTCTAAATCAGTGATTTTCAAACTTGAGCATGCATCAGAATCACCTGGAGGACTTGTTAAAACACTAGTTTCCGGGCCTTAACCCAGAGCCCCCAAATCGGCATTTCTAACAAGTTCCCAGGTGATGATTCTGCTGATGGTCAGGGGACCACACTTTGAAAATCTCTGCTTTAAGCTAAGGAAGTGTCACCTGGTGCGGTGAGCTACCTGGTACTGGGCACAGGAATCTGAACTGCTGGTGATAGGTGGTATGTCTATGCTTAACTCCATGTCTTAATGCTGCTGGTCCATACTTAATCATTCCAGAAATATCTATTCAGCGCCAGCTGTGTGTATATCTGCCCAAGGGCTATAGCCAAAGTAACTTTTATCAGGCTGTATGAAATCACTAGTCTTTATTTTTAAGGATCTGTGGTTTCTTAGAAGAAGCTTGAAGATTGTGGAAGACCTTTGGTCTGCAATATAATATCATCTAGTCATGGGTCAGAAGGGCAAAAGCCCAGCCCTCTCTTTGGAGAGGTTTAGGGTATGGTGTGCTGATGATCAGATTTTCCTCAGCCCCCGACATCCGTGTCCACACCAGGCAGGTCCTCATCTTCAACATGACCATCTTCGTTACCCTTGGGGGTTTCATTAGATCACTTGTGGCCAAAACCTCTTTTTTTCTAATGAAGAACCACATAGGATTTTTGTTCTGTTGTCAGTTTACCCTGCAGTCTTGGTCCCCGTCCAAACTACCTGCATGAAGTGACTCTTCCTGTGCTAGTCTGTTAAATCCTGCCCTCCTTGGTGCTAGACTCCAATTATGCCTTGGGGCAGAGGAGACAAAACACAACTATTCTGTTGGCCTCTGTTGTGGCTTTGAAGTTTGTACTTTCTCTGTGGGTGTCAGTTAAATATTGGAGAGCGAGGAGTATGTACTTCTACAGCTTTAAACCAAGAAAGGGCTCTCAGCTTCCTGGATGGAGGTAAAATCTAAGAACCAAGATTGAGTTTTGTGCTTTTCTCTCATTCCAACCCCTTGTGCTGATGCTTAGCAAGAGCAGAGTGAATGGCAGGTAGCGACAGAGTCCAACAGGAAGGTGTAAATAGCCTGTTATTATCTCAGAAGGCAAGGAATAATAAAACCATGAGAAAATTAGACTCCATGTTTAATGGTGACCCTGGTGCTCTCTGGAAATCTTGGCATGAGCTGCTATAAAATATCCTTTTCAGAAACACCTTATCTGTAAGGTAAGAGAAATCAAGGCCAGTTAAGACAAAGTGCTGTGAGTTTGAAACTCAACAGAGAAACATCAATTTAGGCTGGGTCTTCAGGTAGTCAAGATCCAGTGTCATGAAAAACAGAATTCCAGCAATTCTTAGATTAGGTTGCCAAGAAGCTAGTGAAGGAGAAAAAATTTAAACCTTAAATTCCATCTTTCTTGAGCTCTTGGATTGTGTTAATAGAATGATTTCGTTGACTTTGTGTATCCCTGTTGAGGAATTTAGTGTCTGACTTCTTTGCTACTTTTGGATCTAAATTTCTGTTTCCTCCTTTCCTGCTCAACATCTCTTAGAAGTTTGTATCACCATTTCTTTGGCTTTTCTTTCCCTTTCTGTCTTTGCAAGCTTTAATCCCACGTATCTAGTTTATTAGTCTGCCTAGCCCTCCAAGGCAGAGGGCACTGCTGTGCAGTGGATCTAGGTACTGATTGCAAGCTGTAAGGCTGCAGAGACCCTGAAGCGCGCTTTGAGGAGAAATTGTCCTGCCAGAATTTCTATAAAGCTGAGTAAACGGCCACCTACTAGGACCTCCCACAGAGTCCCAGGACCTTAGGTGCTGTCTCCAGTCTGTGTTGGAGAACACTTAGCCCCTTGTTCTCGAACAGGGAATCCTCTGTGTCCAACAGTGAATTAAAAATTAAGGTTTCTTCACTACTTCTATGGTAGGGCTGTCTGGAATTCTATTTCAAACCGTGAGGTTCTGGGCTTGGGCTCTAACCACACGGAGTTTCCTCCAAGGAGCTGGAAGGGGAGGAGGCAGGGGTTACACGTTCATGTCCTTTAATTTTGATCTGCTCTCTCTAGCTGCTTCTTTCAGAAGATATATCTAAAGATACAAAGTCTGCATTTGATATAATGCCTTAATCACTGAGTCTACAATTAATGTTGACCGTTTTAGATTGTAAGCTCCTGGAGAGCAGTATTGCTGTAGTAGGAATGTTTTAACAGTGTCATATGTAAAAGAACAAAATAAATATTTTGATTTTGTGATTCTATGCCTAGAGTCTTTCTGACCAGAGTGATAGTAGAGTAAGTGGTCTTTTTGTTGGCCATTACCATCAGTTTTTTTTATAAGTGTTACGATCCCTTTACATTTCCATCCTCCTCTCCTTAAACTGACAAGCTAATATATGCCGGAAGGTTGACATGACATTTCGCACAGGAGACAGGGTCTTCACGAAGCTGCAAATATCTCCGTATTTAAAAGCTAACCCATCACATCCTAATCCCTTCTGGGTTTATGCTGTTGGGCAAGAGGCCCTGCATTGGGCCTCTAGGATCTTCACTACCAAGCCTCAAGGTGAGCATCAACCCGCCTATCCCTTCCAGAATGCAGCTTTCTGCCATTCCTACTCACTGGGCTCCACAAGGTAGCTTACCATCCAGAACCATTCCTAGTCATCTCCATAGTGTGGTATGAGGAACGTGGACTTTGGAGTCAAGCATACCTGGGTTTGAACCCTGGCCCCCCCACTTACTAGATGTGTGACTTTGGGGTTCCTGGGTGGTTTGGTTGGTTAAGCATCCAACTTAGGCTCAGGTTATGACCTCACGGTTCATGGGTTTGAGCCTCGTGTAGGGCTCTGTGCTGACAGCTCACCTTGGAGCCTGCCTTGGATTCTGCGTCTCCCTCTCTGCCCTTCCCCTGCTCGTACTCTCTCAAAAATAAAATTTAAAAAGACATGTGACTGTAGGCAAGTGGTTTTAATAATCCCTAAATCTTAGTGTTCTCATTTATAAGGCAATAATAGTGCCATTTTCAACTTAGGAACAATATGTATAAAGCATCTAGCACTTAATAGGCAATGAAACGATAGTATATTTTTGGTGATTTTTATGCCAGCTTTCAGGAACTGAAAAGTAAGCTTCTTCTGGATGAGATTGGTATCTTCACAAGCACCTGACCATCGAGACATGAACACTAGGACCTAAGGAATAACACAATTTTATGCATGGGATTTCAGTTGTGTCTAAGGGGATTTATGCTGCAATAAGCCCTTATGTACTCACCTGGTAAATGTCTCCTCTATACATAAAATGGCATGGAAATTTCCTGAGAATTGGAATGCCATCCTCACTCTGCCCCTGATAGCCTCACATTCTAGACCCAGCAGGGGAAGAGTAGGAGAGCAGTGTAGCAATAAAGTTTAGAAATATGGGTTCATGAATCATGCTTGGGTTCAAATCTCAGCTCTATCCCTTAATAGCTGAGTGTTAGTTTCCCCTTTTGTAAAATTAGGATCTAGGACTCTCAAACGAGTTAAAGATTAAATGAGATAATCTGTATAAAGTACTCTACGGTGTCTTTACATATAGAGTCCTCTGAATATTGGCTACTTAGAAGGGAAGAAGAAACTAAGGACCCTCAATGTTTTCATGCTTCTGGGCCTATTCATGCTGGGAAGTCGATGACAGAGCTTAAGGCAGAGGCTAGTTTCTCTGTTTTTTCCTTTTCTGTCCTGGCCTTTGCAGGCTTCAAGGTAATGTATTCAATTTCCCTATCTAGAGTCTGACTCTTGCTGTGTCTTTAAGACCATAACAGAATTGAAGGTCCTTTATCAAACTGGAAGAATAAAGGTTGTGAAAGAACAGCTGGAGGAAGAGAAGCCATATGTCCTTTTCTATCACTGCCTCTCCCATATATTTTTTTTAATGTTTATTTTTGAGAGAGTGCACAAGCAGGGGATGGGCAGAGAGAAAGGGACAGAGGATCCCAAGCAGGCTCTGTGTTGACAGCAGCAAGCCCAATGTGGGGCTTGAAATCATGAACTGAAATCATGACCTGAGCCAAAGTTGGACACAATTGACTGAGCCACCCAGGTGCCCCGCCTCTGCATATTCTTTTCCCCCAACATTAAACTACCCCTAGAATGACGGGTAAAATCTGGCTAAAGGGTCTATTCAGAACTGATGGTTCCAGGGGCACCTGGGTGGCTCAGTCAGCTGGGCGTCTGACTCTTGATTTCAGCTCAGATCATGACCTCACAGCTAGTGAGTTTGAACCCCACATCAGGTTCTGCACTGCTTGGGATACTCTCTCTCAGCCCCTCCCCTGCTCAAGTGTCCACATGCATGCACAGTCTTTCAAAATAAAATTAAAAACAAAAACATGATTCTCGGTTCCTTTTTACACAGTTGGGCAATTCGCTGTAGTTGAATTAAACAGTGAAAACAATAGGCTATGATTCTTTTTTTTAGTAATCACACCCAATGTGGGTCTTCAACTCACAACCCTGAGATGGGAGCCATATGCTCCTGACTGAGCCAGCCAGGCACTTCATTCTAAATTACTCTCAGATTAGCTCCTGGTGGGAAAAATTCTCAGGCAAGTTGGAGAAGGAAGGCAAACTGGAATGATGGGAATGTTAGCATTCCTATTATCATGTTTCCCTCCACTGCCTGTCCCCCCAAATTAGGCCCCAACTAGCTACGAAGCCATTCTGGAAACAGATTCTGGAAACCCACAGCTTGATCACACTTAACATCACTACAATCTAATCTCCACAAGGGCAGAGATCTTAGATTTTGTTCACTAATGTTACTAAATGCCTAAAATGGTACCTGGCACATAACAGAAACTCAATAAATACTTGCTGAAGAGATAAGTTGAGTGAGTCAGTGACAAGGATCAACTGGAAGTGTCCTGTGCTTAGCCACTCAATAAAGGTGGGAAGAATGATGATACCTCTTGGAGTAGTTACCTTTTAAAGTTTTGGGGTTACCAGTGCTAATCTTATACTTCATTAAGGGCGTTGCACACTTTTCCAAAAATAGATTTATTTTTAAAAACAAAAGTTGGACAAGTTTTATAGAGTCAAATTTTCCAGAGATAAACTAGAGTTTGAATTTCCACTTAGAGTGAAAGGTAAGCATCAGTTATCTCATGCAGAAGTATTTCTCTGCAGGAGGTAAAACATTCTGCTTGATTTCAAGCACTCAATTCTCTTTATCTTATTTGTACTTCTGCCATCATTTTACTCCATTCCAGGGCTCTGGCATGCAAGATAATCTGCCTCTAAAATTCGAAACTTCCAAATTGAGATGAACGATTGTTGGGCTTGGGTTGGGGTTTATAACCAATTCGATCATTAATCATTTGTTCCCGGCTCTTCGGGTCACTGCTGAGCCCAATGGCACCTTCTCCATCATTGATTCCTACGACATCCACTTCTTCCTTTTGTTTCTTACGGTTCTGAAAGTATAAAAGTTTTAGGATTTAGGCAACATTCTTTCCATCACCAAACATTTATTTAGCACCTACAGTGCACTAGGCATAGGGCAGAGGCTAGGGTAGGGTCTATGGGATAATTAGCTGAAATCCTAGGTTTAAATGGATAATAAGGGCACAAGGCGGATATAGTGAGAAAAGATATAACCTGTACCCTCCAGGATGTCACAGTCTAACCAGGTAACAGGTGAATGGACAGTGACAACACAGGATGATCATGGCTATGACAGAGGAAAGTCCACACTACCCAGGAGACGCAGAGAAGGGAGGGACTGGGTGTGCAGTGGTAGAGCTTCAGAGCAGGAAGCTGCAATTAGGAAGATAAATAATATAATCATGAGAAGATGGAAGTTAGCTAAACCTATCGTGGCCATCATTTCACAATATATGTCAATCACACCATCACGCTCTACATCTTAAACTTACATAGTGGTGTATGTCAGTTATTCCTCAACAAAAGTAGAAAAATAAGAGGTGGCTGACAAGCGGGAGAGAAGGGTGTTTCAATAAAAGTGTTGTTCAAGAGAATAGATGGAAAAATTAAATGGTAAAGCAATAACCACCAGAAATTAGCGGCTTTGCTGACACCATGAGATTAAATGTAATACAGGAATACAAGGTTTTGTGCTATCCTATCAAAAGGCCTGAGTATTGAGGTTTGGTTTTGTTTTCATGTAAAAGGTTTGGCTCTTACATCATAAGTGACTGCAGAATTCAAGTCAATGTCTTAGTTTGGTCACTTTCTTTTAGTTTTTAAGATTTTATTTTGAAGTAGTCCCTATACCCAATGTGGGGCTTGAACTCACAACCCCAAGATAAAGAGTTGCATATTCCACTGACAGAGCCAGCCAGGCGCCCCTCAGTTTGATCATTTTCAAAGAGAGACTAACACTCATCCCATAACGAACTACTACCTGACTACAAAGATGGTATTAGATAACTGCATTCCCTGAGAGAATGAACAAATGTTCTATCCTGCATTCCTTAGGAGAATGGCTTGACTACTCTTAACTGCTGGAATCCCCACCATTCTTCACCCCTTACTAATGAACTCCACATTTAAATGCCAGCATCACAGAAATATACCGAAAAAGGTATTACTTTATACATATATATACATGTGTATTTATAAAATTACCTCTCTGAGTTACTCTCTAGTTATTCTACATTACCAATAAGTAACATTACAAAGTTCTCCCCAAATACCTTAGTGGGATACCTTTTAACCAAGTTAAAAGGCAAAGGATACTACCATTTTACAAGCCATGAGAAACTGAGAATGTCCACATGGAATGAAATCATTTAAAAGGATACCCACTGTGAATAACTGCTGACTGTTTCAGAATCTAGAGTCATCAAAATGTAATTAAACTAATTTCAGTAACCAATGAAATACCAGTTTCTACTCGTTTCAATTAAGTTTAGTTTAGGGCAAAACTATTCCTCCCTAAGTTGCTCCAGGTCAAACTCACTGGATAATTGCCTTTAGTAGAAAGACTAACTCACTAGTGAGCTGATTCTGCAGAGTCAAAGTTCAATATGCCAACACTTTATGAGACTCATTACAGCTGAAGTTTAAACCATACTGAAAAGGCATTTCAGGGAAACAGAACCAAGTGTGCAGAGGCACTGAGGTTAAAGATAACTTGTTAGTGGAAGAGAAAATGGAGAGATGAGCAAGGATTATGGCACAAAGGGCCTTGTATACCATCCCAAAGAGTCAACTACATTCTTAGGGTTACTAAAAAATTTACGTCTTATTAATGGACATCTAATACCGGAGGATAAGATACACTTAAAAATACATACTGAGGGGCACCTGGGTGGCTCATTCAGTTAACTGTCTGACTCTTGATCTCAACTCAGGTCTTGACCTCAGGGTCATGAGTTTAAGCCCCATGTGGAGCCTACTTAAAAAAAACCAAACAACTGGGGCGCCTGGATGGTTAGTCGGTTAAGCGTCCGACTTTCCAACTTTCGCTTAGGTCATGATCTCGCGGTTTGTGGGTTCGAGCCCCGCGTCGGGCTCTGTGCTGACTGCCAGCTCGGAGCCTGGAGCCTGTTTCAGTCTGTGACTCCCTCTCTCTCTGTCCCTCCCCTGCTCACGCTGTCTCTCTCTCCTAGAAATAAATAAAACATTAAAAAACAAACAAACAAACAAACAAAATATACTGAGCTCCTACCATGATACCAAACGCTGGGAACTCAACAGTGAAATAGACAGACATGATTTCTACAATCAAGTATCATAATTTAAATGCTTTTACAATAAGCAAACAAATCACTGTAAATTTTAATAAATGCTATAAAATTAAAGAATAGAATGCTTTGAGACCCTAATGAGGCAATGAGAGCATGGATAGGAATGACACCCCTGACTTGGAGGTCAAAAGCAGCATCTCAGACTGAGAAAGTAACATATAAACAGACATGAAAAAAGGGGGAGAAGAAAATAACATGTGCAAAGGCCACGAGTGATAAACAGCTTGGCATATTCAAGGAAATGGAAGAAAGCCAGTGTGCCTGCGATACAAAGGCCAAAGCAAAGAATGGCAGGAGGTAAAACCCGAGGGACCAGAACATACCAAATCTTGTAGGTCACAGTAAGGAACTGAGATTTTATTCTATGTGCAGGAAACCATGAGTAGTTTTAAGCAGGGGAATAACATGATCTGAACATTTTTAAAGCTCGGTCTAGAAACCTGATGGAGAATGGATTAACGAGACAAAAATGGAAGTAGGAAGACCACTTAAGACGCAACTGAGATGGTACAGAGAGAGATGATGGTTACTTGGACTGGGGCTGTAACCGTGGAAATGCACAGGGTAAAAATAAAGGGTAAGGAAAAGCTAGAGCTCAGGAGTGATTCCTAGGTTTCTGCCTCCAGCAACGACATAGATTCTCAGACATAGATGCTCATGGGGGAACACTGAGGTGAAACCAGCTTGAGGGACAAATCAAGAAGTTTTTCGTTTTAACATGTTAAATTCAGTAGGCTGACCGGTGATTTCCAAAGCTCTTAGGCCCTAATCCCCAAATCTCTAAATGTTGCCTTATATGGGAAAAGGGTCTTTGCAGATATGATAAGGACTTTGAAATGAAGACTTTATCCTGAATTATCTGGGTGGGCCCTAACTGCCATCACATGTATCCTTGTAAAAGAGGGCAAAGGGAGGGTTCACAGACAGAACAAGAAAAAGCAATGTGATCATGGACGCTGAGATTGGAGTGAGGAGGCCACAAGTCAGGGAATGCCAGTGGCTACCAGAAACGGAGTCAAGGAACGGATTCTCCTCCAGAGCCTCTGGAGGAAGTGTGGTCCTGCTGACACCTTGATGTGGGACCAGTGATACGGATTTCACATTTCTGGCCTTCAGAATAGTAAAAGAATAGACTTCTGTTGTTTGAAACCACCAATTTTGTGGTAATTTGTTACAGCAAGCCACAGGAAATTAACACATTCAGTCTAAGATGCCTGTAAAGCATCTAAATAGAGGTTTCAAATAAGCTGTGGGTATAAGGATCTGGGGTTCAAAAGTTAGAGTTATTGTTTTCAATACCCTAAGGGTTTGAAAGTTGTATTCTTACCTCCAGGTCCTTGCGAATGCTCTCAAACTCCTCAATGTCATCAAGCTTCAGCTCCAGGCGGGTTGGTTTTCGCCGCAGCATACTGAGATCAACCTCAAGGGCCAGACCCAGGGGACCTGTTAGAAATAGCAGAAGAGGAAAAACTGGAGTGGAAAACCCTCAGCTACAAATACAAGATCAATTTGTCAGCATGCATGCTAAATGAATGGTGGTAAAACGGACTCATTTGGGTTCAAACAGAGACTTCAAAGTCATTAGATGTATGATTGTTACATGACGGAAATCTACAACTCTGCAATTCCAAAAAAAGTTTTCAAGAAAAAAAAAGAGAGCAAACTGCCTATAAAAGAGAATTCACATTTAAAGAAATATTCTACCTCAGAGAATAAAGTTAAAATATCACATCTTAAAAATAAATGAATTAAATAAATAAATAATCACATATTAATTTGGTATAGTTAGTGGGAGAGTATACAAGCCATTAAATTTGATCAGCTCTGCATGAGAGCTGTAAGAGATTTGTGATCACTGCTGAATACGGAAATCAGTTTACCAAATCTTAGGAAAACTCCAAATAACTCACAATTCACGGGGTTATCCTCTGGGTCTAAATAGGTCCTAAATGGATAGGTCATTCATTAAACAAACACTTCCTGTGCTCCAGCTACAGAGTTAAAAGGCATAGTCGCAGTCTGTGGGGAAAACAAACACGTAAACAGAAAATTGCGACACACTCTAAAAAGATGATGAGGATAATGCAATGGCACCACACAGGCACCCAATCCAGTCTGGGTAGAGCGTGGGGTGGACAGGGACGGGGAAGACTTCCTGGGGAGATCTCTAAGCTGACTTGTGAAGGGCAGGCAGAGAAAGGAGAGTAAGGAAGGGCATCCCAGGCCGGGAGAACAAGTATGCAAAGAGGCTCAAAAGAACACTCGAGTCTGAAAACCCAAGGTAATGCTTATGCTAATGAAAAACAATTTTTTTTTAAGACACGGAAACTCCCCAACTGAGTTTAAAACCTGTTGAGGGCAACATCTTTATATTCTCCATTGCAGCCAAGTAGAGTGATTCTATAATAACCAGTCAGCAAATGTGTTGTTGAATAAACTAAGACATCCAAGTTAGGTGAAATGAACTTTTCTTGAGCACTGTGCTACGCTTTCGCATTCCCCTTCTTTAGATTTTTATTTTAACACAGAGACCCTCTGAAGCTGACAAAATTACCTCTATTTTAAAAATGAAGTTGAAGTTTGGTTAATAAATGTCAGCCTCCTATAAAAACTACATGGGTCACATGGTGAGGATTAAATGAGAATGATGTAAGTGAAGGCTCCTTTAAAGTCGGTACAATTAGAGGGGCATCTGTCTGGCTCCGTCGGTAATGCATATGGACTCTTAATCTCGGGGTCATGAGTTCAAACCCCATGTTGGGCGTGTAGCTTACTTTCAAAAAAAAAAGTATGTACAGGTGTAAATTATTATTACATCTATCTAGGGTGTAGTTAGAAACTCTGAAGTATACAAAGGAAGAAACGCATCCTCCAGGGAAGCTTGCAACAGAACCACCTGGCATATTACATTTCAAATTGCTTTGTATTAAATCAAATACTACCTTGAATCCAATGTAAACAAATGGTAGAGGAAGCCAAGTTCCTAGGGGGAATAAGGGAGGAAAGAATATTTAAAAGGGGGGTAAAACAAACAAACACACAAACTCAAATCCTGCTGTAGGTTTTCTTCACTTTTCTGCAAACTGTAAAGCTCGCCACTAGGAGGCAGTACAGAGTAATGGGCAAAAGTGCTCCCTCAGGAGGCCAAAGGGCAGAGGGCGTGATTCTAACCCCACACGCCACTGATCTTGGACAATTAGTTTTATCTTTCACTGGCCCTTAGTTTCCTCAAGTTTCTGTACTCTTGTTGTGCAGACTAAACGACGTGATGCACAGTGAGTTCCTGGAACACGACTTGGCATTTAGTAAACACTCAATAAACAAGAGCTATTACTATTGTAATTGCCCTTGGGGAGGTGGGGGCCATCCAGCTCGAGAAACACCAGTATTTTAGGCACCTCCACCCCCGACACGGGGGCAAAACCTTGTTCATCTCCGATGTCCCAGCACCCAGCAGAACACAGGGCCAATGCAGAGCTGCCTGGGCTCAGTTTACCTGACGCTTTTATAGGCATCATCTCACAAAGACCGGACTGAAAACAAACTTCAACAAAAGCGGGCCGAGCTTCCTCCTCCGGGTCTTTATTTTTACTCTGGCGCTAGAGGGCTCTTCGAGCCTCATCTGTCGCCACTGCCCTAATACACCAAAAAATTCACCCAGTTCAGAGGAAGGCCCTGGGATAACGTCCCCATAGCGGAGAAGAGCACTCCCTCCGCAGCTCCCGAGCGGCACTCCAAGTCCAGGGAGAGGGTTTCCATGGCAACATGGCCCTCCGCTCCAGGAGACTTGAAGTCCCTCTTATTAGGGCCGTGAGTGACAACCGACCTCGGAAGCCCTCCACCTGCTACCCGAGCCCAGCCCAGGGCCGCGCGACTGCACGCACCTACCTTTTTTCAACCCAGCTCAGCCTCTTCCCGGAACCCCGGCGCCCACCGCGAATCTTCTGCTAAGCTCACTGGACTACACTTCCCAGACTGCTCTGGGCCTCCCTCCTGCAGAACCTCGTCCTCCGCCCGCTTTCCTCAAAGGCTCTTCTGTGGGCTCCAGGACTCTTGCCTACTACGATTCCCATCATGCCACACGTCACGCAGGGCCCTGCGTCGGCCTTATACCCACTTCCGTTCGGTGACGTACTTCCGCTTTGCTGGGCGCGCGGTGGACGGTCTGAACCGTACTTCTCGGATTTCACCGGGCTTTCGCTGCTCCAGAGCTCAGCATGGCTTCCTCACGAGCCTCGTCCACGGTACGAATCTCAGCTCGTTCTGGCGAGGAGCGCGAAGGGAGCTGGGAGGGTGTCCCTGCGGGTTGGGGCCGCTCGGGAACGGGCTAAGGCGGTGGAGGACTGGGGTGGACGGCTGCGAGTCTCGATCCTGTCTTAGCGGAGCAGCGTTTTCCTGATCTCTGCGTGCTTGCCTGTGTTTTAGTTCATTTGCATCTCTCACTGCAGCCCCTAATAGTAAATACCTATTCCGACTGGTCCAGAAACGGAGCTCTGAAAGGGAGTAGTGTCGTGGCCCGAACTTGTTATAACGCCTTCAAATTTCATGTCTGTTACCTTGCGACTGAAAACGTTTGAAGTGTGTAGACCAGTATAACTAACTTGTTCCCCTCTAATAATCGCGTTGGTTACTTGTTATCCTTGATATTTTCCCGGTGATGAGCTGTAGCCGTGGATGTTTCATAAAACCCCAGAAGAGATCGCCACCGATTGATGTAAACGTGTACCAAAGCAAACCTTTGATAGAAAAATTACCAAGAGTAATTCACTAGTTTTTCCAGCCTCTTCCTGTCGCAAAACTTAAGTGATCCTTCTCTCCTTCCTCTAATCAGTGAAGATATCCTAACTGGGTCCAACATGTCCTTTGGGGAGAAAATAGGATTGAAGCTCAGGATGAGCTGCATCCTTTGGGGAAGGGTAGTAAGTTGCTAAGATTGAGCCTTAGGTTAATCCAGGTCTCTGATTTAGCAGGCAACCAAAACTAAGGCACCTGATGACTTAGTGGCCCCCGTTGTGAAGAAACCACACATCTATTATGGAAGTTTGGAAGAGAAGGAGAGGGAACGTCTGGCCAAAGGAGAGTCTGGGATTTTGGGAAAAGAAGGACTTAAAGCTGGAATTGAAGCAGGAAATATTAACATAACCTCTGGTAAGAAGCAAATTGTGAGTCCCTCTTTATCTTTGATTTATAACATCAAAAAATTTCAATTAAATTTGCATCTTTGTAAGGCCATCCTTTGCCTGTATATCCAGAGAAATTTTTTCTTAAAACCTTTTATACATTTTTTTCTTGCATTCTATTGTTAGTAATTTTACCAGGAATTTGTTCAGTGTGTATTTGAAGTTTATTTATTTATTTGGAGTGAGAGACAACTCGAGTGGGTGGGGCAAAGAGAGAGAATCCCAAGCACGCTCCACGCTGTCAGCACAGAGCCTGACATGGGGCTCGAACCCCCGAACCTAAGCAGAAAGTAAACCTGAGTAGGAAGCTTACCTGACTGAGCCACCCACACACCCTTATTCAGTATGTATTTGGATTCATACTGATTCCATTTGTCTTCGGGAGATCTAACATAGTTCTGGCATTGATTTGAAGCTACTATGCTTTATAACATTCTTTCCTTTTCATTCTCCAATTTTCACACTAAATGAAATATGTTTTACATCATAAGCGTAGGGGCACCTGTGTGGCTCAGTGGGTTGGGCGTCCAACTTCGCATCAGGTCATGATCTCACGGTTCGTGGGTTCGGGCCCTGCTTCGGGCTCTGTGCTGACAGCTAGCTCAGAGCCTGGAGCCTGTTTCAAATTCTGTATCTCTCTCTCTCTCCCTCTCTCTCTCTCCCTCCCTCTCTCTCTCTCAGAAATAAATAAAACATTTGAAAATTTTTTTTACAAAATTATAAACTTAGTTATTTTGACAGCATTGAAGCTGTAGAAATGTGTGAAGTAGAAAATCTTGTGATCCTTATTAACTGGGTCTTTCCAATATTTTAATAAAGCTGTAAATATTTGTAATTTTTTTCATAAGTGAAACTGATATACAAATTGTTTTTATTTTTGAGAGAAAGAGAGATAGCATGCATGTGCACGGGCAGGCGGGGGGTGGGGGTGGGGGGCAGAAGGAGAGAGAGAGAGAGAGAGAAAGAATCCCAAGCAGGCTCCCCGCTCAGTGCAGTGCCCAACACAGGGCTTGATCCCACGACCCTGCGATCATGACCTGAGCCAAAATCAAGAGTCAGATGAACTGAACCGACTGAGCTACCCAGATGCCCCAGTTTTCCTGCCTTTTAAAGCTGCGCCATTTTGTTTTTTGTGTTTGACACAATGTAATAAACTGAGAAACAGTAAACTATGAATTAATGTACTAGATTAGTTCTAGAGGTATACACAGATTCCAAATGTAAGAAATTATTTTTTCCCCTATTTGAAGATCTGGTGATTATGCTGATGTTGCCTGTTCTTTTTATAGGAGAGGTGTTTGAAATTGAAGAGCACATCAGTGAACGACAGGCTGAAGTATTAGCCGAATTTGAGAGAAGAAAGCGAGCCCGGCAGATCAATGTTTCCACTGATGACTCAGAGGTCAAGGCTTGCCTTAGAGCCTTGGGGGAGCCCATCACGCTCTTTGGAGAGGGTCCGGCTGAAAGAAGAGAAAGGTGCCCTTTTCTGAGTTTTTACTCTCTTGCTTCATCACAAGGCTTTGCTTTCCACTTTCAGTTGATATTTGTAGCTAAAACTTTATTAGACTATCTTAGGTAATGTTAATAAAATATGTTACTCGGTTGTTTTTATATAGTTTCGCTCATGATCTAAGTAAGCCAGTTTTTTACTCCACTACTAATTTTTCTTTATACACTGCAAATGGGGTGTTACTATGTGAACCCCCCCTCTTCCCCAATGTGGAATTGTGACTTGGGTAAATATTTGTTGTCGAACTTTGAACATTTAGACAACACGCTTACTTTGTCAGTGACCTAAAACAATGATGAGTATTTTTTTTTTTTTTTTTTTTGGTTATTATTGAAAGGGGGCACTTCCTTCAGATGAAGTTCCTCTTGTGATTTTAAGGTCACAGAGTCTCTAAGTAAGTGACAGGCTCGTCATACACAGGAGGACCTCCCTTGTCTTTCTGTCCACTGTCCCATCTCACCCTTTCATCGTGGTTCTTTTGTTTTGTTTTTGCAGAGTCTGCACATTCAATCACTTTTAAACTTCTCTCATTATCTCATGTCCATTAAATAGAACCAGTTATGTTGGGCCTGTTTAAATTAGTATTACCAACCCAGTATCTTACGGAACCAGCCTGGCTGGCCGCAAGGTGGGAGGAAGGGGCAGCCCCGAGAGGTGGCTGCGGGCCAGGAAGGGCTAAAGGGCAGGAAGAAAAGGCGGCTCCCAGATGGGAGGAGACGGGCTGTCCTGGTCGGGGAGGGCTGCAAACGGTGCCTGAGAAGAGTGGAACTTGGGGAGTGGACAGGTCAGTGCTTTCTCCCCCAGAGCACAGTGTTGCAGGAGGCGCTCTGGGCCACCACTGCCTACCCCTGGCGCTTGGAGAGCAGAGCCATGAGTCCTGGGTATGATGAGCGCGCCCCCCCCCCGCCGCGTGGTCCCCTTTTCCTTGAGCCTCAGCGACTCCTCACTCACTGCATTTACTCTCTTTGGGCCCTTACCCCTCACATACTCGTCAGCAAACCAACCACTGCTGCATTGCAATTGCTCTTTATTAGGGTCACTAAGTCATCGTTACTAAAAATAGCCCTGGTACCCTGTCAGTTAGTCCCTCTTTGAAACACTCCCTTTCATAAAATCAAATCCTAATTTTCCTCCTGTTTCTCTGGCTGATTCTTCTAAGCCTCTTTTTTTACCCTGCCTAACCTTTATATGTTGCAGTTTTTTTGCCTTGATTCTACGCTCATTCTGGGTGATGCGATCCACTCCCGTGGCATTGGGTACCACGTATATTCTGAGGACTCCCAGGTCCCTGTTTGCAGCCTACACGCTCTGTAGGTACTTCAGACTGCACATGCCTACGTCGAACTCCTCTGTTTCCCTACCTTCTATTCTACTTTCAAATAACACTACCATTCACAGTTTTCAGTTGCCTTACCTCCTTTGTAATCCATCAGCAAAGTCTAGTCTGTTCTAGATTTGTACTGAAATGTACCTCCTCTTTTCTCTACCTTCATTGCTTTCACACCTAGATGATTGTAATAGCCCAGACTTGTTGTGGAATTGCTTGCTTAAAATCCAACAGTGTCTTCTTATTAAACATAGAGTAGGGGCGCCTGTGTGGCTCAGTTAAGCATCTGACTCTTGATTTCATCTTGGGTCATGATCCCAGGGTAATGGGATCAAGCCCTGCATCAGGCTCTGCACTGAGCCTGGAGTCTGCTTGGGATATTCTCTCTCTCTCTCTCTCTCTCTCTCTCTCTCACTCTCTCTCTCTTTCCTTCTCTCAAAATAGAGAATAATTATAATTTGAGCATGTGCCCTGGGACAGTTTTTCAAATGGAATAATCTCTCTCTCTCTCTCTCTCTCTCTCTCTCTCCCTCCCCCCCCCTCCCCCCCCTCTCTCCCCCTCTCTCCCCCTCTTCCCCTCTCTTCCCTTCTCTCCCCCTCCTTTCCTCCCCCTCTCTCCTCTCCCTCTGCCTTTCCTCCGTTCACACTCTGTCTCTCTCAAAATAAATAAACATTAAAAACAACAACATAGAGTAAAAAAATTCTTGATTATACTCTTCAATCTTTTGTGCCACTCTTTTCCAATTTATTAGACTTAGTAGCCTTTAAGGGCCTTCCTGGAATACTCAGACTCTTTCTGTTTTTCCACTTATTTTTTCTTTTTGTTCCCCTATCTTGCCTCTTTTTTTTAATGTTCATTTTTGAGAGAGAGAGAGAGAGAGAGAGAGAGCAAGCAGGGGAGGGGCAAAGAGAAAGGGAGACACAGAATCCGAGGCAGGCTCCAGGCTCTGAGCTGTCTGTCAGCACAGAGCCCAATGTGGGGCTTGAACTCCCCAATCACGAGATCATGACCTGAGCCAAAGTTGAATGTTTAACTGACTGAGCCACCCAGGCACCTCTCCCGTCTCTTGCCTTTTAAAGCCTTTTTATTCTTTTGGTTTCAGCATAAATGCCACCTTCTCAAAGAAGACTTTTTTCACCTGACCCCTTATAAAGTAAGCCCCTCCATTATTGCCTATCATACAATGTTACTCTCTCAATAGCATTTTGAAAGGGTATACTTTTATTGTTGTTTGTTTGTCTTCCAACCAACAGCAAAGTCCTATCACGGCGCCCTTTGGTGACTGTCTCGAGTCCGTACTGCCTTTGTCTTAATTCAGACCACCATTAAGACTCAGGGGCTCCCTGAATAGTAGACTGATTTCCCAGCCTTTATTATTCCCTCTTCAGTCTATTCTCTCTACTTCCCTAGGGATCTTTCTCAAAGGTAAACTCTTCACCATGGCATGAGGTGCTCTTTGTGACGTGGCCCCTATTTATGTTTGCAGCCCAATTCTCACCAGCCCTTTCTGGCACTCGGTGCTCCAGCAGTACTGAACTATGTGTGATTCCAAGCTCAACATGCTTTTCCTATCTCCAGACCTTTCCATTGTTGAACCCTCTGCTTCAGCTGTCCTTTCCCATTCTTGACCTGTTGTCCTTACTAATTGAGGACTAGGTGCAGGGAACACCTCTATGAAACCATCCCTGATCCTCCCTTCAAGCCTAGGTTAGGTATTTCTTTTATGTGCCCCCTTAGCACTCAGCATTTAGGACTGTAATAATACTTAATGTAACATATTGTGGTTCCCTGTTACTTTCTGTCCATCCACCTTCTTCCTCCTTCTCTGCACCCCATCCCCCTCCCCCCCCCCGCCCAATTATGCTACTTGGAATAAAGAAGTGGTGCTTAGTACTGTTTGTGCACTTAGCACCTCAGTCAGCAATTCTGCGCATTGTGGTCTGGGGCAAAGGTTAGCTGTCTTCACAGACCAAGTGGTAGCCCTGTTGGGGCTAGTTGACTCTAAATTGAATTCAGTAATTGCTTATAGTTCAGTTTAGGGAATCTTTAAATAAAGAAGACTGAGTAAAAGAAATCACACTGGAGGGGTGCCTGGGTGGCTCATTTGGTAGAGCATGCGATTCTTGATTCTTGGGGTCGTAAGTTTTGAGTCTCATGTTGGGTCTAGAGATTACTTTAAAAAAAAAAAAACTTAAGAAAAATCACACTGGAAGTTTAGGCATGACATGACTCTTGAAGAAGTTTGCTTAGTTTAAATGGAGAGAACAGGACAAGCCTTCTCCTTTCTTAGATAAGTTTTTCCTAGCTTCATCTCAACTCCATTTAAATTCTGATCTTTTTTGTTACAGGTTAAGAAATATCCTCTCAGTGGTTGGTACTGATGCCTTAAAAAAGACCAAAAAAGATGATGAGAAATCTAAGAAGTCCAAAGAGGAGGTAAAATATGTCTTTGGCTTCATGGTATAGAAGTGAAGGAAATGAGGGGTTAGTTCTCGCATTTTCTGTTTTCAGGCTTTGCTTTGCTAGGGGAAAGGGAAGGTTATTTGAGGGTTCTACCTTTCAGGAACAGTGGCTGGCCATAGTTTGTGTTTCCTACGTAGGTATAAATGAAGGTAGATGGGTTTCCCATTCAAGATAAAATCCGTAGCATTCCTGGTGTAACTTTTAACAAGGAACCGGAAGCCATCCAATAAGAGTTCATAAAGGGGCGCCTGGGTGGCTCAATCGGTTAAGTGTCCAACTTCGGCTCAGGTTATGATCTTGTGGTCTGTGGGATCAAGTCCTACATCGAGCTCTGTGCTAACAGCTCACAGCCTCTAGCCTGCTTCAGATTCTGTGTCTCCCTCTCTCTCTGCCCCTCCCCAGCTCATGCTCTCTCTGTCTCAAAAATAAATAAACGTTAAAAAAAAAAGTTTATAAAAACACGGTAAAGGGGCAGGTACCTGGCTGGCTCAGTTGGTGGAGCCTGCAACTCTTGATCACAGGTTTGTGAGATCAAGCCCCCAAATTGGGCATGGAGCCTACTTTAAACACACACACACACACACAGTAAAAAGCACATGTACCTGATTTCATCCTCTGACTGAACTAATTCACCTTTTTTTCTGGACAGTTAAAATAGAGAACTGACAGCAATGAGAGGGGCAGGAATCCTTCAAACTTAACATTTCCGCTCTTAATTTAACTTTCAGTATCAGCAAACCTGGTACCACGAAGGACCAAACAGCCTGAAGGTGGCTAGACTGTGGATTGCTAATTACTCACTGCCCAGGTACAGAGAGCCTCCAGAAGGAGAAAGAAGCATATTTTTTCTTTTTCCTCCTAAGCACTGATGATCAGCTTTATAAACACTGGTGGTTGTTAAATGAAACTGGCAGTGGGGGATACCTGGGTGGACCTTTGTTCCCAGCCTGTTCACAGGAATGATGTGTCTGTGTCACAGGGCAATGAAACGCTTGGAAGAGGCCCGTCTCCATAAAGAGATTCCAGAGACAACAAGGACCTCCCAGATGCAAGAGCTGCACAAATCTCTCCGGGTAAGATGCCCTTGGTGATTTTCTGCATATTAAGGGCTCTTAACTCTGCCTGTACTTTAGAAGGTACCTTAGAAGGTAGTGTAAAAGACAGCATGCCCACGCTCCAGATGAGCCTCAACTCAGTTCATTCATTAACATAAGTGTCTCCTAACAACAAAACTATAAAGGAATCTTGGGGGGTGGGGGTGGGGGGTGACTAAAACCAGAAAGTTTTTTTTTAATTGTGGAAAAGCCAAGAAACTCTTGTATTAGCCTATTAATGATTACCGTTGTCTTTTTTTTTTTTAAGTCTTTGAATAATTTCTGCAGCCAAATTGGGGATGATCGGCCTATCTCCTACTGCCACTTTAGTCCTAATTCCAAAATGCTGGCCACAGCTTGTTGGTAAGTCCCATTTTACAGTGATATTTTTTCCTAAATGGAGGACAAGTTAGGGGGCGGGGCAGGGGGGATCAGTCTTTTTCTTAAGGGCTCATTTCTGTGTCCATTTCCTCTGTTTCTCATGATCACACCAAACTAGAGATGCCAGTGCTTAGCCCTTATATACAAGATAGTCTGGATGTAACATTTCTTCCCGTTCACAAGGGACACCAGAGATCCCTGACACGTTGGTCATGCTTGTGATGCTGCTAGCATTTTGTAGCAGCTAAATAGTGAATTTATAGACTGACCAGTATCCACACCTCAGTATAGCTTTTCTTTTTTAGTGAGGTAACCCAGGCAGGGTACTCTGTAAGCTTCAGTTGCCTTCTGTGTAGAGGAGGGTGAGCTAATGTCGTAAACATTTTGCCTTAATTGTGTGCGATATGTGGTAAGGACTCAGTAACCACGAGTTCTTGTTTTTATCTTTATTTTGCTTTCTAGTTACTGCCACATAGGCAGAATGCTCTTAGGATGTGATGGTTTTGTGGTTCTATTTAGTGATTCACTTATGTTCGTGGGACATGGCCGTCTAGTGAGAAGGGAAACTTCTTTGCATGCACAGGAACTTGACTAGGTAGAAACTGAACTTATTTCAGGAGAAAGCCAAGGAAGGACAGAAATCCCCCTGCCTTTCCACGCCTCCACTACCTTCCTTAGAAGTGGAAATGATCATTTCCTACATTATATACCTCACAGGTCTATTACAAGGATTACTTGAGAAGAAAGAAATAAAGTAATTTGTTGGAAATTTTCTGAAAGAAAGTCTTTTAAAAAAAAATTTAGGTACTTTGTAAGCAGTAAAATGCTATTTATATTTAAGGAGTTAGTATGTATGATTATTAATATTACTGTTGGATAGTTGAATCTGTCCCATCTTTTCTCACCAATCACTCTAGACATTAAGGAGAATAGCAACCTGTACTATTTTAACTCATAGTCCTTCAGAGGCCTCGGGTTGGGTGAGACGTGCATATAATTTTCTTCTGTAAACCATCAAATGATAAGTTTTATTTTCCTGTGTGGTACTGTCAAGTTTTGGGGGGGGTGAGAAGAGATTGTCCTTTAGGAATGTTACCAAGGTACCTTTTCCTTCCCAGACCAACCCTGGCTGAGATGCTTTCCTTTGTATTTGATAGGAGTGGGCTTTGCAAGCTCTGGTCTGTTCCCGACTGCAGCCTCCTTCACACTCTCCGAGGTGAGTTCAAATCTCATGTAAATGTCCCTCGTTTTCCCAGTGTGAACCCTGTCAGACAGTAAAGCTAATACTCTGCCTGACACTCAGGCCCGGTGCACACAAGATTAATTCTTGATTTAAATTGACTGGGTTTGTTTTTCTCTGACCACAAGGTAGGAAGATAATGAGTTTATGCACAAACCACTATTCTGATGTCCAACCCCACTCTGGCATTGTACAGTCTCTAGACCAAATAAATAAAGGTCGTTGGTGCTTTGCGTTATTTTGTTTTTTAATTAATTTATTTATTTTGAGAGAGAGAGAGAGAGAGAAAGACAGCGTGAGGGTTAGGGAGCAGAGAGAGAGGACTTCCAAGCAGACTCTACATAGCCAGCATGGAGCCCAATACGGGCTCGAACTCACGGAACCATGAGATCATCACCTGAGCTGAAGTCAAGAGTTGGACACTTAACCGACTGAGCCACCCAAGTGCCCCTGTGTTTTGTTTTTTTTTTAATATAATGTAAATATTTTTTTTAAGTTTATCTTTTTTATTTTGAGAAAGACAGAGACAGCATGAGTGGGGGAGTCGCAGAGAGGGGGGGAGACAGAATCCCAAGCAGGCTCCAGACAGCCAGTGCAGAGCCCAGCACAGGGCTCGAACTCAGGAAACGGAGATCATGACCTGAGCTGAAACCAAGACTCGATCAACCAGATGCTCAATCAGCTGAGCCCTCAGGCACCCTTGTGCTTTAAATGTTGATTTAAGTTAAAACAGTTCTTTCTTTTCTTTTTTTTTTCTTTTTTAAATCAGTAGTCACTTTACTACCCTACCTGTCCACATGTTCCCTAATACATGTCTGTGTTACTCATCATAGTCTGTTTTCGCACATAAATTATAAGGAGTGGGGACCCTTTAACTTTCATCTCTTACCCTCCTTCAGGCCATAACACAAACGTAGGAGCAATTGTATTCCATCCAAAATCCACTGTCTCCTTGGACCAGAAAGATGTCAATCTGGCCTCTTGTGCTGCTGATGGGTCTGTGAAGCTTTGGAGCCTTGACAGGTGAATATTACTGTTGTGTCGGTACTGCAGCACTAAGGTGAACAAAACAGTTGCTTGGTTGGTCCTTGGGACCTGAAAATCTGGCATTTGACTCCAGAGATGGTCTTCAGAGTCCACAGAACTTGGTGTGAGTATAGAATGTAGGATTTCTTTCTTAGACCTAAGGAGTGGGGTCTGGCGTTTCTTATTTGTTAACTTTGGACCTTGATTTTTGCCTCTAACATAGTGGCCATGGTCTTCCCACTCCAGTTTTTCTGGAAGGTCTTTTTACACCTCCTATGCAGTATACTGACATTGGAGAAATGCACCGTTTGGTAGATTGACTAAAGATAATATTCTTGGCAGCACATTGGTTCCTAGCACATGGCCACAGGGGAGAGGAAGGGGAAGCTCTGTCTGGCAGTATTGCCAAGAACGCGTGTCTCCTCCCAGCTGCGTCTGCCTTTACCTCGCCTCTATTTTCCCATCATAACAGTTGGCAGTTTTTTCTTAACATGTTTATGATGATTGTTTTCCCAAAAAATCTTTGAAAGCACTCTGCTGGCTAAGAGAAATCTGTATTCAGTTGCTTAGGTTTTTTTTTTTCCTTTGGGAAAGCACATGAGGCTTTTATTCCAGGTTTTTGTAGAGGGCTAATTAGTGTCCCCACTCTTTGCCAGACAAGGTCTGTCTTCTGAGCAGAGCAAGTTTTAATTGGCTCGTATCACTTAGCAATATCTGGTCCCCTGGGGCTTTGATTAGCTCTATGTATGCGCATTGACAAAGTTCCCTTTTTAATTGCCCTCTTTAGGGTTTGTGTTTATTTCCTTTCACTGGTATCTCAGACCTTTTTTTCTGTGGTTGCTGGGGAGGTGAATTTGATGGTTACCAAAACGACACTAAATGTCTATTTAAGAGGTCCTTTTGTTGTGTGGATCCTTCAACAAGCTAAAGTTTGAGGAAAATGTATCTGTAATCCACTTGCACCAAAACTGTTTGATCTCTGTAGCTTCATATCTCTGCCAAACTATGTTTTCTTTCTAGAATCTCAACACTCCTTTGGTATAAAGAGACTATTTTGTTTGTCAGATTGAATTATCTTTTATTTTTCTCTAATCCTAAATGAGAATAGCCTTAAGGATTGCTTAACATAGTGAATTGAGATATAGAAAGATAGTTGTTTATTGAAATACCTTGGGCAGTTTTGCCTTGTGAGCACATGAAATAGTCTCAAATCTTTTAAAACTTTGAGAAGTAACATAAATTGTTACTTTATTAAATAAACTGAGTTTTGTTACAATTTGGTCTCTTAAATCATAAAGAATGGGTACAACAGTCACAACAGTTAATAAATTCAGTGAATATTTATGATCATAAAATAGTTTACTCACATTCTTTTTCAGTGACGAACCAGTGGCAGATATTGAAGGCCATACAGTACGTGTGGCCCGTGTAATGTGGCATCCATCAGGACGTTTTTTGGGCACCACCTGGTAAGCCATCCTGTTGCTGTTCTCTTCATGCAGGCCCATGGCATCTTGGTAACCCTTATGACTAACTGCCAAGTAAGTTTTAAGAACAGAGATCTTCAAGTAGAATTTTCTTGGAGTGCAATGAATCAAAATCAGAAAAAAATATGATAAAGTTAGGGCCAAGTGTATTTGCTTTTTGTTGTTGTTGTTGTTTTTAACGTTTATTTATTTTTGAGAGAGAGACAGAGACGTAGCACAAGCAGGGGAGTGGCAGACAGTGAGGGAGACACAGAACCCGAAGCAGGCTTTAGGCTCTGAGCTGTCATCACAGAGCCTGACACAGGGCTCAAACCCACAAACCTTGAGATCATGACCTGAGCTAAAGTTGGGTGCTTAATCAACTGAGCCACCCAGACGCCCCCCAGTGTATTTGCTTTTAAATTGCAGTTAATCAGAAATTTCAGTCACTAATTGCCAGAAAACTAGAATTTCCACTTATTTCTTTTTAAGGGAGTAGGGGAGGGGCAGAGAGAATCTTAAGCAGGCTCAAGGCTCATGACGGAGCCCAACACGGGGCTCAATCCCATGATCTTGGGGTCATGACCTGAGCCAAAATCAAGTTGGACACTCAAGCAACTGAGCCATCTAGGTGCCCTGTCTTCTCCTTCTTTACCAATACTGGTGGTGTTTTGTTTTGTTTTTGCCACGCATTGTATTGTAATCTCTGCTTACAAATCATTCTCCCTTTCTGGGGCTCCTGGCTGGCTCAGACAGTAAGTAGGGCATGTGACTCTTGATCTCAGGTTTATAAGTTCAAGGCCCATGTTGGATGCAAAAGATTACCTAAAAATAAAATCTTTAGAGCCGTTTGGGTGGCTCAGTCGGTTAAGTGTCTGACTTCAGCTCAGGTCATGATCTCATGGTTCATGAGCCCTGCCTCAGGCTCTATGCTGACAGCTTGGAGCTTGGAGCCTGCTTTGGATTCTGTGTGTGTCTCTCTCTCTGTCCCTCCCCAACTTTTGTGTTCTCTTTATCTCTAAAATAAATAAACATTAAAAATTTTTTCAAGAAACTAAAGTTTTTCTTAAAAAACTGCAAATTGGTCTCCTTTTCTGGTTCTATAAATTCATTGAGGGTAGAATCTGTTAAAGAACTTTTCAGTTGAGATATAATTTACATGCAATTGAATGGATTTATTTTCAGTGTACAGTTCAGATGCGTATACTCATGTAGCCTATGTCCCTTTTAATAGAATATTTCCATTACCCTTGAAGGTTCCTTCATGTCCCTTCCCAGTGGATTCCCCCTTCCAGACCAACTACTGATCTGATTTCTCTCACCATATGTTAATTCTGTCTGTTCATACTCTATGAATTTGTACCTGGCTTCTTTTATTCAGCATGATGTTTTTAAGATTCATTTATGTCGTTGCATGTATTGGTAGTTTCTTAAAGCTGAGGAGGATTCAGCTGTATGGCTCTACCATAGTTTACTTGTCTGTTCTCTTATTGAGGGACATTTGGGCTTTTCCAGGTTGGGGTCACTCAGAATAAAGGTGCTATAAATATTCTTATACAATGCTTTTTGTGGACACGTTTTTATTATTTAAGTTTTTGATGTTTTGTTTTTTAAGTTTATTTAATCTCTGTACCCATCGTGGGGCTTGAATTCATGACCCTAAGACTGAGTCACTTGCTTCACCAGCTGAGCCATCTAGGTGCCTCTCTGCTTCCATTTATTGAAGAGACTTTGTTTTCCCTATTGAAATTGCTTTAGTGATCTCATTTGAAAATCTTTAACCAAAAATGTGTAGGTCTCTTCCTATACTTTCTCATCGGTTGCATTGATCTATTTGCTTATTGATTTTTATCTCCCTAGCATCCAGTTTAAGGCCCAACAAACAGTGAGTGAGAGGACTTGACAGTTGAATTAAGAAAGAAAGAAGGCAACAGTCTTTGCTGGGCCCTTCTTAGGAAATTGTGTTCTTAAAATAGCCACTGAAGTAAGTTGCTAGGAAGTCCGTGGTTTCCCTGTTAGCACTCAAGACAGATAGGCTTAGCTGTTGAGCTATTGCTTGTGTCAGAGAAGAATTTCTTCTTAATACAGTTGTACAAGTAGTTTCAAAAGCATAATTTCAGCTACAAGTGTTTATAATGCTTTACACATTGTAGAAACTGAATATTTACTAGTTAATTGCTAGTTAATTTTTTTTGTAGCTATGACCGCTCATGGCGCTTATGGGATTTAGAGGCTCAAGAGGAGATCCTGCATCAGGAAGGCCACAGCATGGGCGTGTATGACATCGCCTTCCATCAGGATGGCTCTTTGGCTGGCACTGGGTAAGCCCTCTTCCCCGTAGCTGGGGGCAGCTTGTTTGTTTGCCTCTTAAGTATGCCTGCCTCTGCTTCCACAGAAGCGGGTTCAGAGTCTTCACTTATAAATTATCTTATCAGGGGACTGGATGCATTTGGTCGTGTTTGGGACCTGCGCACAGGACGGTGTATCATGTTCCTAGAAGGCCACCTGAAGGAAATCTATGGAATAAATTTCTCCCCCAATGGGTAAAATAAACCCCTTGAATGATGGGCGGGAAGGGTTATTGGTCAGAGTGTATCTTTGTTTCTAACCTGGATACCACACCCAATCCACAGCTACCACATTGCGACCGGCAGCGGTGACAACACCTGCAAAGTGTGGGACCTTCGGCAGCGGCGCTGTGTCTATACCATCCCTGCCCATCAGAACTTAGTGACCGGTGTCAAGTTTGAGCGTAAGTTTTCCTCCTGGTTTGCCCACTCACGGGACAGACTATACTTCACAGAATGCAGGCTGGGCCCTGGCTTCGCTCGGAAGTGGACCCGGAGAACACTGGGCCTCTGGTGAAGAAGGGGCACGTTCTAATTTCCGTCCCTGTAGCATAGTTCCAGACAGAGTCTGTGGCACAGCTTGCTCTTGTTTCTGGAAGTCCAGAGGACTGTCATAAATGCTCTGAGTCACTCATTTTTTTCCATGAAAGTTGTAAGCCCTGAATCCTTAATATTACTGTGAACAGATTGTCAGGGAAAGAGCCAGAAGAACTTACTAATGTTCTTTGTTTCCCTAAGTCTGCCTGCAGTCCCTTTTTCCTGGAGGCCTGGTAGGAGTGTAGATGAGAACGTTGCGCTTTTCCAAATGGGGAAATACCTTCCTTTTCAAAATCATATGTTCTAGGGGATTTTTGTGCTTTTATTTTCTTTGCTCTTCTGATTTGGGAATTCCTCCAGCAGATCCTCTTCTTTTCTCTTAAAGCTATCCATGGAAATTTCTTGCTCACTGGTGCTTACGACAATACAGCCAAGATCTGGACCCACCCGGGCTGGTCCCCACTGAAGACTCTGGCCGGCCACGAAGGCAAAGTGATGGGCCTAGACATTTCTTCCGATGGGCAGCTCATAGCCACTTGCTCGTACGATAGGACCTTCAAGCTCTGGATGGCTGAATAGGCAGGAGTGTGGAAAAAGGACTCTAACCGCAAGCTCTCCCTTGAGAACCATTTTCAAAAGAAAGGAATTGATGTGTTTTGTCCAATCGTGTTTTTCGCCAGGTGCCATGTATAGGGCCTCGAAAGAATTGGTCACTCTCCACTCCAGGTAGGCAGCCACATTTCTGGCAGTTGATGAACCTATTTCATAGATGAAATTTTAATTCTCATCTGCAAGCCCTGCCACGGACTATGTAGACATTGTTTTTATTAATCTTTTGTTTGAATGCCTTACTGCCTCCTTCATAGCACTCGGGGTTGTGACTGGCTCCATTTTTCATTTTGAAACTTGGCTTTCCTTTACATGGTACATGCTTCGGGACTATGTGTGACCCACAGGGCAAGGCGGCCACACTGTAGTTCGGAAGTCCTCAAGTAAAGCGGCTCTTCTCACCACATGCTGCTTAACTGATGTCTGACAGAGTGGGAGCCTTTTCTCTATACCTTGAGAAGGGAGGTGAAGGGGTGGGCCACAGCTGTGCTCAGGGCGGTGTGGTAAGGAGGCTCTTACCTCTTGCTGTTGAGTTCGCCTGGAATGCTGACCGCATCAGGAAGCTCAGGACTGAACATTTGCCCCGTCTGTCTTCCATTCTGCTCTGAAGCGTGGCATCCTTCTTGTTACCCCAGAGCTAGGCCACCGTGTCAACATGCAGTGAGATTTTTAGAACACAGATGTGAAATCGTGCTGTGCCACCTCCTTTGTGTTAGTTATTTAGAGGGTGCACCCTTCGTGTCAAGGTTACCGGAAAAAAATCCTAATGGAGATTCCCGAACATAAACCTCTTTTCTTTTTTCTTTATTACACACTTGCTACAGAGTAGAATCCTATTATAAAAACTCATTTTGTATAGTTTTTTCTGAATTGCAGCCATTGGTCCATAGAAGTCCCCCCCCTTTTTTTATTTGAGATATACTGGGTGGTATTAAATATGACTTATTCCAGCTTCAGCCTCCTTATGGTTGTTTTGTAGAGATCGTTGCACTGTGGGCCAGACTAGCAGGGACGTGTGTCTGAACTCTGTCCTTCGTGCTCATTGGTCATGCAGCAGTTACCTTCGGCTCTTTCCACCCCAGATGTACAGCCGCTGAGGCTGTGTGTTGTGAGAGTAGAGTACGCAGCCCATTCTCACAGTAACACAGGCATTTGGAAGAGGAAAGGAATTATATAGAGTCGGAGAAAGGCTGATATGATGGCTTTTCCTTAAATGTTGTAAACCCTTTCGTTTGATGTTTGCTTTTCTAATTCTGGTGACCTGTGAACGTGTGAATATATAGCTAAGTATTCTGTTTCATCTCATTTTATTTATAACCAAATAGTTGCATCCTTTGAGTACCTGTTAAGCTCCTGAATTACCGGCTCTACCCCTTGTTGGGCACTTTGCATTTCACTATTATTGAAGTATTAATGGGCTCTATTTTCTTCACAGTTGGCCATGAAAAATAATTCCTTGTCACTACTTTTGTAGTATGCATGCATACACTACTAATGAACAGTAGTGTATTAGCGTGCGATTTGGATAGTGTGTTAACAAAGGTTTTTAGTTTTTCAAATTTAAATTTTACTGTTCATTCCATACACTTTTTGTTGTTGATGTTGTTGTTGTTCCAAGAGATTGAGAGGTAGCAGTGGAGTGAGCACATTTTCATGTAAGCCTTTGGGAAAACAGTTACCTTGTGGAATATACATTTCTGCATTGGAAATGTCATAGTAAGGAAGCAGCTGAGGAGCGTAAATCAAATGTAGCATTTCATAGTAATGGTGAGGTAAATATCAGAGCCACCACTTAAAAGACACGCTTCCTGCCTACAGACTGTGCCAGGCATGTTCAGACATCTCATTTGATCCTTCCAGTCTTATTGAATTATTCTCTTTTGACAGAATTGAAGCTCAGAGAAGTTAAGTAGCTTGCTCAAGGTCACCCTGTCAGTGAGTGGTGGAGCCCAGGCGACCTTAGAGCTTTCACAGGGCTTTACTGAGTATGTTGGCACCACCGGCCTGACAATGACCAGTCTGGCCAGCATGGCCTATTTCCTGTCCAAAGCCTGAGCTTTTTAACCACTCTACCCTTTATACCTCCCTTTTGATGAGTCCCTGCATCTCTTAGTCTGACTCCATGCCAAAGGGAATGTACCTATAGTGTTACTCAACTGGCAGCCCTGCGTCCTGGGATAGATATCTTGTGTGGAACTTTTCTTAACCATTGCAGCAAGTCTTAGCATCCCTGACCCATGGAGTGCTAAAAGCCAGAAGCACAACCCACCCCCCTTCATTGAACTAGCAAAGATGCTTCCAGACATTTCTGCTTTCTCCAAGGTTAATGCCCTGTGTTAAGTATACCCTTTCCTACCCAAAAAAGCTCGAACCAGTATTTTTCTTCCTGTGGATGGTGTATCAGCCATTCTAAGAGCCAATCCAATGCTACTTTGACTAAAAGGCCTCCACCACTTACTGGCCGGGTGACCTCGAACAAGGCAGCTAAACTTGCGGAGCCTCGGTTTCATCTGTAAAATAGGGATGAAGCTTCCTTCACTCAGAGCAGGAAGCTCTAGTGTGGAAGGCAGGCATTTCTGGGCTTCCCCCGGCTCCTCTTCCTTTCCTCCTGGCTCAGAGAAAGTGGGGAGATCATCGCCTAATGTACCTGCCACAAGGTTATGGAGCAAGGACGTGTAAAGAAATGAAGTCAGTAGGGAGAGGTGGAGTCCCAGCTTTAGTGTAATTATCTTTGATGGTGTAAATAGAGAGGTAGGTGCTAGTCCCCTGGCGGGACACGTGGTGGCTTTCCCATTTTGTAATGGAGAAATTTCACCTTGGCCCTTAGCACAATTCGGTTTTACTGAACACGAAATACAGGTCATGGCTATTTTGGAATACCTTGTACGTAAAGTTCCCTGAAGAATTTGTAGAAGCCAGTTCCACTAAGCACAAAATCTTATTTAGAGCAAATAAAGCCAACTCCATTTCTGACTCTGAAAGTTTATTCCACAAATCAAAAAAACCCTCAGATGTTATCTTTTCATAATTGTAATGGTGTTTTAACCACTGTGAGATTGTTCCAGAACTGTGGGCCACTGGACCATATTAAAACTGGGAAACAAGGGGCACCCGGGTGGCTCAGTCGGTTAAGCATCCGACTTCAGCTCAGGTCATGATCTCAAGGTTTGTGGGTTCAAGCCTGTGTCAGGTTCTGTGCTGACAGCTCAGAGCCTGAAGCCTATTTCGGATTCTGTGTCTCCCTCTCTGTCTCTCTGCTACTCCCCGACTTGTGCTCTGTCTCAAAAATAAATAAAAAGCAAACAAAAAAATTTTTTTCTTTAAAAATAAAACGGGAAGAAGAAAGGGTTTTAGATACTGCTAGGTGGCAATTTAGAGTCAAACAGCCTATGCATCTAGTTTACCTTGGTTCTGAGTTCTGTCACATGAAATGAAAACAGGGCCCCCTATCTGCATGGCCTGGGATGGAGGCTAAGGCTTTTCCTCTGTCCAGGGCTTCCACCTACCTCGAGGTCAGGATTCCATTGCCTGGAGGAGGGGAGTCAGCTCCGTTCAGCATCCAGGCTTAATCAGGGCCTCTGCACCTACCTGGAGGAATAACCTTTCTTCCAAATCCCAGATTTCTTTTGATCACCTTTAAAGCTTTATACTCTTAACACTCCATAGGCCACACACCAACAAGAGGTTGTCTTGGGCAAGAAGCAGCCAAGGGAACGTGCCCTCCTTGCCAGTAAAGGCTCCCTGTCACCCATGGATAATCATACCCTCCCCTTCCCCTAGTTTGGTCCCCTAGCATCGACCAAGTGGTTGTTGAATGAGTAAGTGCATGCGCTCATTACTGCGGACCGCTTTTCCCGGGACTGAGTGCAAGACTTCCAAAGAGAAAACCGAAAGAAGGCCTGTGCCTTTGCTCACAGAATTGAGGCTCACTTTCCAAAATTGCAGCAAGACATAATGAAAAGAGCAACCCAAATGTGAACTGAATTGGGAGCAACTCCAGTGAGAAATGCCCCTTTCTGGGCTAGTCAAGCTCCTGTATACCGTCATCCAGCCCTTGAGCACAACTTGCCACGTAGCTCCGTAGTCCCAGATCTGCTTCTCTGCCCTTCTGTGTCCCCATGGCTCACACCCAGAGGGCCCTTCACACCTTCTCCCAGCCTTTTCGGTTTCAAGAGTTCCCATTACAGTAGGACCCTCTGTTCCCAGAAGCAAACACCTGGCCTTACTGATCCCCCAGATTGTAAAAAGGAACAATACTACAAAGGAAGACAACCCCAAAGGAGGCCCTGCGGTCCCCGTGCCCAGCAGCAGTCAGGAAAGACTTGGCTCCTTGTCTAGAAGCAACGCTCACCCCACACCCCAAAGAAACTGCTTAGTCCAAAAGATGGAGAAGATGAGCAACAGAGTGACGCTGAGGATGACAGCCATCAGGTAAGCAAAGATCCGGAACTGAGGGTTGCGGAAACACTCCCTCAGAGAGTAGTGGCTGGGGACAGGAATGGGCAGAGACCCGGAGGCAGGGCCTATGTCCTGAGGGGGCCCAGTTTGGCTCCCAGGCTCGGGGCCTAGGTCCAGCGTGTAAACCCGGGGCTGGCGCAGGAAGTAGCGGCTCTTGGGCTGGTCCTTGAGGCAGAGCTGGTGGCCTTCCAGGATGACATGGTGGGGCTCCAGGCGTAGCAGGGAGAGCACGGCAGTATCCGTGGGCAAGTCTGTGACAGGCTGCCCAGAGGCCAGCACAGTAGGCTGGCGACAGAGGGGGCAGAGCAGCCGGCGCCGGGCTGGAGTCACCAGGCTGAGGTGGGCCAGGCATTCCACGCAGAAGGAGTGACAGCAGTCCAGCACTTTGGGGGTGTGGAACGTGTTGTTGAAGGGGTTCCAGCAGACAGGGCACTCAGGCTCCCGGCCCTGCTGCTCGGCCATCCTCAGCTCGGACGCCGCGACGCCTAGTAGGAATGTCCTGGCAGAAAAGGCAGAAGAGCAAAGGGACACACATTGAGCTCCGTCCTGGCGCTTGGCCCTAGGCAAGGATTCTGTGTGTTGTTGAAAGCTACTGTCACCCACATTTCACAGATGAAAAACTTCTCAGTTTGTTCTGAGCTGGAAAGTCTGGGGCTCGGGCAAAGGCCTGAGCCCCACCCCACCCCCTGCCCCCCAACGAGCTGCCCCTGGAGGAGGCTGCACCCCAGCTCTGGATGCAGGAAAAGTGCTCCTTTTGCCCCATGTGGTTGCCCTTGGCCCTCAGACTACAGGAATGGGGAGGGGGACCAGTCAGTGGTTTGTGGTATAGGATGAATGTTTCCTTCCCTGCAGCCTCAAATCCCTGACTAGCGCAGAGACGGCCTTTGTGAATTCCCTGGTCTGTCCTTCCTCTGGGGGACAAGTGCCAGGCCCTCTCTCCCTCCTCCCATTGGGCTATAGGGCCAACCCTCCAGAGCCCATTTGCCCGGTCTGCGCAAGGCTCTGTACTGGTCCAGCCAGGAGGGTCCGGCCAAGGCTTTTCCCCTGGGCCTGGAAGCTCGGAGACGCCCAGGTCCCCAGATCAGCCCTTCCAGAGCCTCTCCTGGCTCCTCCTCCCTCCCTTTGTCCCGGGGAACGGGCACCCACCTGGTACTAGCGTGGTCAGGCAGACTACCTGCAGGACCTGAGGCTTCCGCCTCTTCCTCTCCCGAATCCACAAAGCTTTGGGAGCCGGCCTTCTCTCCCCCAGCCGCCAACCCCGGCCCGTCTCCATGGCAGCACTCAGCACCTGCAGCTGCCAGGTGGCCCGGGCTGCAGCCTCTTGAGCACACCTGCCTGCAGCAAAGGCCGCAGAGCTGCCTGGGTGGCGGGGTGGGAGGGGACCGGAGCTCCCCCAGGGCGTGGCACACGACCAACCGCGGAAGCCGAGCATCTGCAAGCCCGTAGGCCTGGGATCGGAGCCCTGGGAAGGGGGTGGGGGTAATTTCCTTTCTCTACGTGGAGAGAATAAGTAAGCCTCTGGGCCGCTTCTCTCCCAGGCCCCCATTTCTTTCCTAAAATGGCCGCAGCCGCCTCCCCTGCACGGTCACCTGCTACACGGTCTAAAATCCTGGCACATCAGACTCAGCAAGTCCTCTCAGATCCCCTTCAGATCTTTTTTTTTTTAAAGTTTATTTATTTTTAAGTAATTTCTACACCCAGTATGAGGCTCAAACTCACAACCCCGAGATCAAGAGTTGTGTGCTCCTCCTCCTGAGGCAGCCGGGAGGCGCTTTTTTTTATGTTTGTTTATTTTTGAGAGAGCAAGGGAGAGCCCCAACAGGGGAGAGGCAGAGAACAGAGAGGGGGGAACAGAGGGTCCGAGGCGGGCTCTGTGCTGACAGCAGTGAGTTCAGTGGGGGGCTTGAACTCAAACTGTGAGATCATGACCCGAGCCAAAGTCAGACACCTAACAGACTGAGTCACCCATGCACCCCAGGACGCCCCCTTTTCTGATCATTTACTGTGCGCAAGTAGCTGCAGCCATGGGAGTCTGGCTGCCATCTTTGTTCTTGGAACACAGACAACAGCCTGGCAGGCAGGCACTGACCACTGAGATCTTAGAGTCCAAAAGTTGGCCATCTCTCCACCCGTGGGGAGTTAAAAGGGAGAGTCAGGAAGGACAGTTCCAGCCCCACTTCCCCATTTCAACCAGAAACACCTGGCTTTTCCCATGTGGCTCACTTGACTAAGTTGAAGAGTTGAGCTGCTGAATGGGGAAAATAAAAGTTTAAAAACCATTTCTCCACTCTAACCACTCACTTTGCAGACGGGAAGCAAGAAGTGACTCACCCAAGGTCCCCCAGCTAGTCAGTGGTGTCACCAGTGGTGACGCTGGGACTTCAGCCCCCCCGCCATGCTGCTGCCTTGAAGACAACACTCGGCCATCAGTTCACCTGCTGGGTGCGTGTTACTCACTACGTAGTGAGTGTTTGCATCTGGTCAGAAGTCCGTGTGCCAGGAGTCTCTCTTGGGGATCCAGGAACCATGCGCGGGGCTTGGGGGACCCCAGTCTCCCTCGGGCGCCTCATATGACACATCTGCCCTGAGTTGAAACCTGAAGCAAAACCTTACACTCTCTTGCCCATGGCTTCCTGGTTTTCTTCTAGACTTCTACCACTGCTCCATGTAGGGAAGGGGAAACAAAGCTATGCAGGAGGATGGAAAAACTCTGGCCAAAGCTGGGAGTTTGCCAAGGATCCTTACCTATGAATGCCTTCTTCTGTGGACCATGCATCCATTCTAGTTATTAAGTCATTTAATGTTATTTTTTTGAGAGAGAGAGAGAGCACGAAAGTGGGCAGGTACAGAGAGAGAGGACAGAGCATCTGAAGCGGGCACTGCACTGACAGCAGAGAGCCTCACATGGGGCTGGAACTCATGAGCCACGAGATCGTGACCTAAACCGAAGTGGGGGGGCTTAACTGACTGAGCCACCCAGGCGCCCATATAGTTACTAAGTTATGGAGCACTCACTGCATGCCGGAGCTGTGCTAGGCACTGGGGAAATAATGGTGAAGGAATGAGGCATGGTTTTGACCTCATGACCTTTTGGGTGTAATGAGGGAGAAACCCATCTAATGAGTAGTGGGCAATAACTAAACATCATTTTACTGCATGCTATAAAGGACAGAAAGGGCAAACGGGCTTAGAGAACAGGCTCCATATGAAACCACCAGGGAAGGTTTCTTCAAAGAGATGGAATGAAAGCTGAGTCTGAAGGATGACGAGAAACCAGCCCCACAACGTGAGGAAGGACATTCTGGGCCAAGGGAACAACACATACAAAGGCCCAACGTGAAAAAAGCCTCTGCCAGATTCAGGGAGTGAAAGCAGGTCCCTGAGTGTAGTGGGTGGAGTTGGAGCAGGAAAATGGCTCAGGACAAGCCAGAGAGGGAAGCGGCCAGGGGTGGGGATGGGGGTTGGGGCCGATCCTATTTCCATTTTATTTTATTTTTATCTTTTTCCAATTTCCATTTTAAAGTCACCATTGCAGGGGTGCCTGGCTGGCTCAGTCAGTAGAATGTGTGGCTCTTGATCTCTGGGTTGTAGATTCAGGCCCCATGTTGGATATAGAGATTGCTTAAAAATAAAGTATTTTTTATGGGGCACCTGGGTGGCTCAGTCGGTTGAGCGTCCAACTTTGGCTCAGGTCATGATCTCGAGGTCTGTGAGTTTGAGCCCCGCGTTGGGGTCTGTGCTGACGGCTCAGAGCCTGGAACCTGCTTCGGATTCTTGGCTCCCCCTCTCTCTGCCCCTCCCATGCCCATGCTCTTGTCTCCCTCTGTCTCTTAATAACAAATAAACGTGGGGGGAAAATAAAAATTAAAAATTAAAAAAATATTTTTTAAAATAGTAAAATAAAAACGCCATTCCAGCTGCAGAGCAGACAATAGACTAAAAGGACAGAGCGGAAATGAAAGACCAGGAGGGACTTTATCATTAGGCTGGAATGGTGGCGCTTGACGTAGGCCAGGCCATGGCAGGGGAGGTCAGAGGGATGGAGGAAAAACTATCTTTGGAGACAAAATCAAAAGCCCTTCCCAAAAAGCAGTGGACAGCATAGGTTCTGGGACCATGTCGCTGAGGCTCATGTCCCCAGGTCCACTGCTTACTAGGGCTGTGATCCCAGTTGAATTGCTTAACTTGTGTCTCAATGTTGTCTTCTTCTTTTTTTAATGTTTATTTTAGAAAGAGCATAAGCAATGTAGGGGCAGAGAGAGAGAGGGTGAAAGAGAATCCTAAGCAGGCTCCATGCTGTCAGCACAGAGCCCCAGTCAGGCTCAAACTCCCAACGCAAAAGATCATGACCTGAGCCAAGATCAAGAGTTGGCTGCTTAACCGACTGCACTACCCAGGCATCCCCTCAGTGTCTTCTTCTTAAAATGAGACTGAAAGTAGTACGTCAGAAGATAAGGCTCTTAGACCCTGGCATCCAGCAAAGACTACATATGAGGCGGTTGGCATCATCCCTGCAAATGGATTTGAGAGAGAGGAGGGGTCAAGGCTAACTTTGAAGCCATGACAAAAGCGTCTGTGTTGAGCTTTTGAGGTGCTCTGAATTCCAGAGCGTGTCTGAAGCAGACCTTTAGTACTTATCAGAGCCTTAAAAAGCACATGGCCTTGGGCCGCGTGGGTCGCTCAGTCGTCACTTGGCTTCCAATTTCTGCTCAGGTCATGATCTTGCGGTTCGTGAGTTCAAGCCCCGTGTTGGGCTCTGTGCTGACAGCTCAGAGCCTGGAGCCTGCTTTGGATTCTGTGTCTCCCCCTCTCTCTGTCCCTCCCCAGCTCATGCTCTCTCTCTCTCAATAATAAACATTAAAAAAAAAAAGTACATGGCCTTGATCCAGCAGCTGCCCAACTGGGCATCTGTCCCATGGACATGTTCAAGGGCCTGTGCTAAGGCTCGACTGTAGAGATGCCCACGGGAGCACAGCTCTAACAGGGTGGTATGGGAAACGGCTTCCTCGTTCAATGGGGGGCCATTAACTAAAGACATTCTGCTCTATCCCTGTGAAGACACACTGCAGCCTTTGATGTGATAAAACATCTCTTAATGTGGAAATATGTTTGTGATGTCATTGAGCAAAAAGAAACAGCAATAAAACCCTATCATGTCAGCATATCCAACATATGTATGCAATGGAAGAAATGGCTGGAAAAACCAACACCAAAATGTCAACAGTGGTTATCTCCGGGAGTTAGATTAAAGGTGGGGTTTTTTTGTTTGTTTGTTTGTTTTGTTTTGTTTTAAATTCTCTCATCTGAGGGGCGCCTGGGTGGGCCAGTTGGTTAAGTGGGTGACTTCAGCTCAGGTCATGATTTCGTGGTCTGTGAGTTCAAGCCCTGCATCAGGCTCTGTGCTATTAGTTCAGAACCTGGAGCCTGCTTCCAGTTCTGTGTCTCCCTCTCTCTCTGCCCATCTCCCACTTACATTCTGTCTCTCTCTCAAAAATAAACATTAAAAATTTTTTTTGTTTAGTTCTTCTGAAAAAAAATTTTTTTAAGAGAGAGAGAGAGAGAGGGAGCAAGTGAGGGAGGGGCAGAGAGAGAGAATCCCACAAGGGGCAGGGGAGGAGAGAGAGAAGCGAGGCTCACCTGGGGCTCGTGTTCACATGAAGCAGGGCTCATGCTTGCCTGATGTGGGGCTTGAACTCACAGACCGTGAGGTCATGAACTGAGCTGAAGTCAGATGTTTAACGGATAGAGCCTCCCAGATGCCCTCTCATCTGAAAAGTCTAGCTTTACTACACTTACAATGAACTTGTAAGATCTCCCCCTTCCCTCCCAAAGCAGACCTACATTTTCTGAAGCTCCATGGCCAAAGCTGTAAGAGGCCATTCAAGAGTAGGAATGATTTCCATTGCATGAGCACCTGGGCCCTTATCTGCCAGGGTCCCCTCAGACACCCACTGTTGTTCCAGGATCTGGAGATCAGAGTCCAACCTCTGCAGGAGAGCCTCTGGCCGTGTATCCGTGTATCCACCCCGAAGCCAGCACGTCTCAGCCGCAATGGGTCCTAGACACCACCCCGAAAGCATCACCTTGGACTGTGAGCAAGTCAGCCAAATACTGTCTGTAGCATCAGCCCAAAGTTTCTACCCTCAAGAGGAGAGACTTGAAGAACTAGCGTTTTTATAGGACTTCACAGCTTACAAAGAAAGGGCCTGGGTCCTGGCTGGGATCTAAGTGTAGCAACTCACATCTAGATTTCATGATTGTCTTTTACAATTTTTTTCCCCATCTGATTAAGGCCATTTGATTCTTTAAAACCACCCTGTGAAAGGAAGCAGGACAGGGAGTTGACAGTGTATGGGCTTTGGAACCGGACTTATTTGCTGTGTGGTCTTAGATAAATGGCTTATGCTCTCTGAGCTTCATTTTTCTTTGTAAAATAGGCCAATAATCCCACCTTAGAGGCTTGCCTTGTGAGAAAGGGGTAATATCTATAATGTGCCTGGCAAAGCACAGCAGGTGCTCATATAGTTAGTATGATAGTTTCTTTCTTCCTTCCTTCCTCTCTCTCTCTCTTTCTTTTTTACTGTTTATTTGTTTTTGATAGAAAGAGACAGAGTGCAAGCGGAGGAGGGACAGAGAGAGGGAGACACAGAATCCGAAGCAGGTTCCAGGCTCTGAACTGTCAGCACAGAGCCCGACATGGGGCTCAAACTCACAAACTGTGAGATCATGACCTGAGCAGGAGTCAGATGCTTAACCGACTGAGACACCCAGGCACCCTGATAGTTTTCTTTTTTGAGAGAGAGAGAGCATATAAATGCATGTGCGTTTGCGTACGCGCAGGGGAGGAGAGGGAGAGAATCTTACGCAGGCTCCTCACCCAGGGCAGAGCCCGACTTGGGGCTCTATCTCATGACCGTGAGGTCATGACCAGAGCTGAAATCAAGACTGGGACACTTAAATGACTGGGCCACCCAGGCGCCCCAAGTTAGTGCAATAGTTTCATACCCATTTTATAGGTAGGGCCTCCAAGGCTCAGAATGTGAAATGACTTGAAAAAGAAAGGAAAAAAGGCGTGAAATGGCTTATTCAAAGCTGAAGAATGGCTGAGCTTGAAAGATGGCCCCAGGAGCCCTTTCCTCCCAGGCCACAGCGTTCACGTTGGTCAACGACACTGCCTCTCAGGACTCTGGCACCCATGTCCCACCCGTCCCTCCGTGATCCACTCTGGCTCCTTACCTGCTTCCTCAGAGTCTCCTTCTCCTCCCGTCCCCAGTGCAGCCCCGCAGCATGGGCTCTGGGCTCTGACTTCTCTCCGCCTGGTTTCCAGGCACTGGTGGGCGGGCCTCATTTGCATAGGTCTCGGGCAGCTCCTGGCCAGCTCTGGTTTTCCTCTTCCTTCTGATGACTTTGGACTGTCTGCGCTCACGGGGGACAGCCTAGGCACTTTGGTGTTCTCTTCCTCCTGTGAGTCACTCTTGCTTTTTCTCTAAGGGGGTCAAAGTCCCTCACCCTTGCAGACCTCTGCTCTGTATTGGTTTCCTGCCACGGCTGACGGCTCAGCCTTGACTCCTGCCCAGCCTTACTTTGAGGGAAGGCCGGATATTGCTGAAGCCACTTGTCCCTCAGCCCAGATAGCTCCCTCCCTACCCTGAGCCCCTGCAAACCAATATACACAGGGCTCTCGCAAAATATGAAGGAAAAGGCGAAAATCATCCAACAGAAAAACCACCAGGGGACGGTTATTTTAGCATAAGCACGAAGAGCCTGGGTCAAGTCAGATGTCTGGGTCGGTGTCCCGTCCTTGCTCAGAGTCCAGACTCTACTCGCTGGCAGTCAAGAGGAGCAAACAGACTTCTCTAAGCCTCCTTTCCTCACCTGAATATGGGCATCATAATTTTTCCTGCTTGGTCTGCAGATTAAATGAAATGTCACCTAGAGAGTTCACAGCACGGTGCCTGGTACACAGTAGCACGCAGTAAATGTTAACTGCAGCTATTATGCTGATATGACCTGGAAAGTCACCGAAGAGAAACAAACGGAATACACATGTAATTGCTCAACCTCGTTTATAATTGGAGAAACTCAAATTTAAGTAAGAGACACTGAGCCTGGGTGGCTCAGTCGGGTAAGCGTCCGACTCTTGGTTTCGGGTCAGGTCATGACCTTTCGGTTTATGAGTTCAAGCCCCACGTTGGATTCTGTGCTGACAGCAAAGAGCTTGCTTGGGATTCTGTTTCTCTCTGCCCCTCCCCTGCTCATGCTCTTTCTCTCTCTCTCTCTGTCGAAATAAATAAATAAACTTAAAAAAAAAAACCATTCATTTTTAAAGACACTTATTTTAATATTTGTCAGTCTATTAGGGGGAAAAAACCCGCCACTATTACTAAAAGTAACAATGACACTTTTCTGGGTGTTTTGCTGAATGCTTCTGATCTGTGACGGTGAACACTCCCAGGAAGCCCAGTGCCTGGCGGTACAGAATATAGAAAGTCAGTGACTTTTCCTTCCACAGATAAGAAATCTGAAGCTCAAAGTAAGGAAGGGATTTATTTGCCTAAGATCTCATGAGAACCGCTTAATAGCTGGGACTGTAAATCTGTCTCTGAAATCTGTGCCCTTGTGTTACCCTCTCCCCAGAGTGTGTCCACACGGCCCCTCTTCTGTCCCCGTCACAGTCTCTACTCAGGCTCCTCTTCTTTTATTCCCTTACTGACCTTTTAAATAGGGTTTGGAGAATAAACAAATACATAAATGTCCTTTTAAAAATATTTCTTACTGTTTATTTATTTTTGAGAGAGAGCGTGAGAAAGCACGAGTGGGGGAGGGGCAGAGAGAGAGGGAGACAAAGGGTCCGAAGTGGGCTTCGTGCTGACAGCAGACAACCCAATGCAGGCCTCCGACTCCCAATCCATGAGCTCATGACCTGAGGCTGAAGTCAGACGCTTAACTGACTGAGCCACCCAGGTGCCCCTAAATAAATGTCTTTGATTGGTATTGTAACCAATTGCCCTGGTTTTCATCATTTTATATTTCTAAAATTATTTTATTTTATAATAGGTAATATATTCAGCACATGAAAGGTTTGATTTTGCGGTGAAAATGTTACGTCCTTCTCCCAGCCACCTCATTTCCCTGAAAATTAAGGTATTTTAAAAAATGTTTTTAAGTTTATTTATTTTGAGAAAGAGAAGGGTAGGGGCAGAGAGAGGGGAGAGACAGAATCCTAAGCAGGCTCCACGCCATCAGCAAAGAGCCTGATGCAGGGCTAGAATCCATGAACCGTGAGATCATGACCTGAGCTGAAATCAAAGAGTCAGCCAGTTAACTGACCGAGCCACCAAGATGCTTCTGGAAGTTAAGGTATTGTACTGTCGGTTTCTTTTGCGTCTTCCCGAAGTTATTTTATGGCTGCACAAACAAAACTCCTTTGGCAAAACATCTACGTATCTCTTTTTCTCCTCTTTACGCAAATGTGCATGTGGTGTACACTGCTCTGCCCCTTGCTTTTCTCACTTCACAATGCACCTGAGATATCATTCTGGACTCGTAAAGAGCTTGTTTTCAGTTTTGTAATGGTTGTATCATACTTCATTGAACGAGCCATAAATTACTCAGCCATTCCCCTATCGATCTAATCACTTCGTTTTAAATATATAAATATTAGCTGGAGGGGCACCCTGGTGGCTCAGTCAGTCAAGTGGCCGACTGCGGCTCAGGTCATGATCTCACGATTCGTGAGTTGGAGCCCCGCATTGGACTGTGTGCTGACAACTCGGAGCCTGGAGCCTGCTTTGGATTCTGTGTCTCCCTCTCTCTGCCTCTCCCCTGCTTGTACTCTGTCTCTGTCTCTGTCTCTGTCTCTGTCTCTCTCTCAAAAATAAACATTAAAAAAAAATATTAGCCAGGGGCGCCTGGGTGGCTTAAGCGTCCGACTTTCGCTTAGGTCATGATCTCGCGGTTCGTGGGTTCAAGCCCCGCGTTGGGCTCTGTGCTGACTGCCAGCTCAGCCTGGAGCCTGTTTCAGTCTGTGACTCCCTCTCTCTCTGACCCTCCCCTGCTCACGCTATCTCTCTCTCTCTCTCTCCTAGAAAAAAAAAAACATTAAAAAGAAATATTAGCTGGAAATATAAATGCCAAAATGCGGGATTTAGACTAGTCTACAATTGTGTGAAAATAGCTATGGACTTCAAGAGGTGGCCTATCCCTAGGGAAGATCTCTCTAAGCAATTTTCCTCTTTCTGAGCTGGAGACAGGGACCTCAGGTGTGCCTGGAAGGCCTGGAGGTCCCTGTCAGCTCGACAATTCCCTGCTTTTAAATTTCACTGCTGGTTAACCAAGGTCAGTGGAGATTCATGACACTGATTCAGCCCAGAGGATCTGCTTTGTGTTTGAGATTTGGGAGCTATGCTTTCTGGCTTGGCAGCATTCGTGCAAACCATGAAGAGGTTTGCACACTTTGACCCGATAATTCTCCGGAAGTGCCTAAAAGATAGATGTGATATTGAGATTTATAACAAGAAATACATATTTGGTCCTTCTATTCCTGGCAGAGTTCCTAAATCCCTTGGAATTTCCTAAGTGATGGGAACACTAAAGATGTCTTTTGTGATGTGAATGAGGCAACTTTTGGAAAGTGCCTAAAAATGGCTCGTTGCCAGGGCAACCGACCTTGTAATATTGGGGTTGGAACTTTCAGTCCAGCCTGAACACCCACCCCCTGGGAGGGGAGAGGGTCCAGAGAGGGAATTCAGTCGCCAGTGGCCACAATTTAGTCAATCATGCTCTAGTCAGACCTCCGTAAAACCCCTAAAGGGTGGGGGTCCTGCGAGCTTCTGGACTGATGAACGCAGGGCGGTGCTGGGAGAGGCCAGAAGGCTGCGTGCCCCTTCCCACGTAGCCTGCCCACCCTATGCCCCTCTTCCATCGGGCTGTTCATCTGGAACTTTTATAGAGATAAAAGCCATGGGCCTTCATCATATCCTCTGTAATAAGCTGGTAAGGGTAAGCGGATGTTTCTCTGAGTTCTGTGAGCCACATTAGCAAATTAACCAAACCCAAGTTGTGGGTCGTGGGAACCTCTGCTCGATCTGTAACCAGTTGGTCAGAAGCATGGGTGATGACCTGGACTTGTAATTGGTTTTCCAAAGTGTGTGTGAGAGTGGTGGGGACAGTCTTGTGGGAGTGAGCCCTTCGCCTGTGGGATCTGACGCGATCTCCAGCTAGGTAGTGTCAGAATTGAGTTGACTTGTAGGACATCCAGCTGGTGTCAGAGACCTGCTTGGTGGTGGCGAAATACACTCACACACTGGAATTGGTGTCACAATCAGAATATGCCTGTGTCTTTGGGTTAAGTGAGAATGTTCATCGAAGTTTTAAGCAAAAAAAAGATTGAAAGAAATATAAAAGCCCAACTATAGGAGTTCCTGGGTGGCTCAATCATTTAAGCGTCTGACTTCAGCTCAGGTCATGGTCTCACGATTCATGAGTTGGAGCCCCGCATCGGACTGTGTGCTAACAGCACAGAGCTTGGAGTCTGCTTTGGATTCTGTGTCTCCCTCTGTCTCTGCCCTCACCCACTCGCGCTCTGTCTCTTTCTGTCTCTTCTCACAAAACTGAATAAATGTCAAAAAAAAAAAAAAAAGCCCAACTATAGTACATCAGTTAAGTGGAAAACTACTTAATCACTTAAAATGATGTTGTAGAAAAATTTTTATTGACTTGCGAAAATGGTCACAATATATTGTAAATGGAGGAGGGAACGCAGTTTACAAAATGGGATGTGTAGGGTGTAAAATAAGCTATACATAAAGACTCAAAGGCCAGGAGGCAAAATGTCGCATCTCTCGGTGATGAGCCAGCTGACGTCGTCATTTTCTTTTCATTTCTATTATTCTAAATTTTTTTATCAATGAATATGTATTATCTTCGTAACAGGAGAATTCACTTGGAAAGTGAGTCAGTCTGAGTTTTCTGTAGCCAGGAAATCCAGAACTTAAAAAGAAAAACGGAGGGCATGTAAGGAAGCAGTCAGGGCACTGCAGGCATTGAAATAAAAATAAAATAAACCGCGGCCCTTTTCCGGGTCACTGATTGTCTAGTGAGCAAAAGCATTATCACAATGTCTCCAGGTGGTCAAGGCTAGGGAGTACTTTGCAAACAGTGGAAAATTTTTTCAGAAAGATACCCAGGAGAGATAGTGAGGCATCTCAGGAATTTGAATTGAACTGATTTAGTTCATGCTTGGGGGGCAGGGGGCG